GCTGATTTACAGATTCAGAACATCCATGCATGAACACTCAAGGATTTAAAATGGACTGGTCGCCTCCCTTGAACTAGGAGGATCTGAATCAGGAAAATCACCACTTAAAACCATAAAATTAGCCATCATTCAAGGTTGTATGCAGTGTAAGTTTTTCCTCTAGAGGGTCGGGAGAGGTAAGTGATAAGCAACATTACATGCTTATTTTGGTATTTTTTGACTTGAATTCCCGACATGTCCTTTAAATTCGGTCGTTAGACCGATGAATATTTATCGTCGTTCTAAATCTAATCTCTTAGACAAATAAATACTTATCATCACTCTAAATCCAACCTCTCTACAATATTAACAATCTATTTATAATTAATTCCATGCAAATATATAATATAGGACCTCACAAAGTTTTACATCCGAAATCAAAAGGTAAAGTATTTATAATGATCACATGTTTCCTAACGGCATAATTATAGCAGTCAAAGGTAATTAAAAACAAAACTATACTCACAAATTCAACCCTTTTTTGTCATGCAATTATAGGAAAAGGGGCGAAGAGGTTTGAACTAGCGACATTAGAGTTCAACTGTAACGGTAAGACGGTGGTTATTAGATTAACTGTGTAACTCAATCACAAATTCAAGTTTAATGAGTGTGAAAGGGGATGAATTTGGGTAACAAACATCATGTCATCCTCAATAAATAAAAGGAAAGTAAAACGTGGACTGGCGCCGGTTTATATGAAAATTGTATGGCGATTGTTCATCTGTCTACGTGAAGTGAACCTTTGAACTTTGCATTTTCAGGTCTCTTTTGGACTTGAAGCCCCACCAGAAAATGTAATGCTAGCAGACAAACTACTTGAGTTCACTGTCCCCAAATGTTCCGATGATGGTTTTTTTCCTTTTCACACTTCAAAAAAAGGCATGATTCTCGTGTTCCTATCTTTGGAGATTTAATTGTATCTTTCTTCGGCTTTCTCTTCACTTTTGTCTTTCCACTCTGTACAAGTGCTTTCGTGGTTGCTTCGTCCCCATTACCTTTGCGATATATTCCCATTTAACAACAAAAACAAAAGAGCATGGCTAGTTGAAGCTCATTTGACTAGGTTCATCAACTTGGTAATATAACAAGTTTGAAATAACCAACAAAATGACCGATTTAATTACTAATCCTGAATTGTGAATACCCCCCCGCCTCTGCGCTGCCTCTCCAAAAATATTATGTCAGAACTTAACCAATTACCTTGTATGTATGATGTAGATGAAGTCATTACACATTAATCCACAGGATCAGACCAAACCAAGTTCAAATCTCATCCCACAAGAACTCCAAAACTACAGGTCAATGCATTTTAAAGGCGTCTGTCTATATGTGACGAAATTTATGTTCACGCGTGCACTGGCATAAACAGGACTTACTTTTCCCACCAACTTGCATATGTGTTATAGGACATGAAAGTGAAGTCTATGGCTCAGTGTGTTTTCCAGGTCATGAAGACAGGCTGTGACATTCTGTGGTGGAGAGAGCGGCACCATGGAGGCGGCAGGTTGGAAATTATTAGGACCAATGCTTTTCACAGCAACCCTACCATGTATGTATGCATGAAATTGTTGTTCAAGGGATCAAAAACAAAAAATCCTAGCTGTCTCCAGAGAACTAGGAGGGTGTCATCTCTTTCCTGTACAACTACTTGTTAAAAGAAGTTTAAAGCCTAATGTAGGCAATAGATCTCACATGCACCCCTAACCTGACAAAAGAGGCTGAATTTTGCTCTATTTGTTTGTCATGGCAACCTACCTAGTGGAGCACATGACCATCGGTGAAATTATTGTGATACTGCGCCAACACTTTATTTGGTATCATTATCTACTATTAAAACAATAAATAGGCGGCCCGTAAACCCTACAAAATATAATAATTGCATAATTGCACATAATTGTATAGACACAAAAACTCCCACACATGTATTGATATCACAAATATTTTGTTGCCCACCCTGTGGATTTCATGCATCAATTGGTGTTTTAGCATATGGCCTACAATTGACTTGTGATTACATGTTTGGTCATTTTATTGTGTTAAGAGTCTTTTCATATTAACTTTGAGGGTTTTTTTTTTATGCTCTTAATTTATGAATGAAATTGTTAATAATTTTCTTACAATTAACTTATATTTTTCTACAACTATCCACCTCTCTTTCTAGGCGACGAGTGATTGTTGAAATTTGTGTGTATTAAATATGATGCAAAAATTATAAAAAAATTATTTTAGTTTTATTATTTGCTAAAACAAAATTAAAACTTATAATTAAGCCAACCTAGGCCAGAATTAGTGGTTTGATTTCGAAGATGATGTTCTTAGGCTAAATTTCACTGACACCCATTGATTTAAGTTATATTTCATTGATAACCCCTCCAGTTTTTTTAAAACTTACTACTACCCCTGTTAATTTTTGTTGATTAATAGACAATGCGATTTTACATAATTACTCTTATCAAAACTCCTATTTTACAAAGGTGCTATTCAAATTTACCTTTATATTTTTATCTTGTTTTTAGTTTCACCCCATGTTATGTCCTAACCTAACCATTGTAACAATTTTTTTTTATTGGAGGAGTTTAAATGCTAATTCACATATTAGCATTATTAATATAATTGCATAAAATTAATAACAAATTAATATATAATTTTATCAAACCAACATCAAATTGAACTTCAATTTTTTAATTAATATTCAATTTTATCTAATTAACATTTAATTTTATCAAATTACACCAAATTAATATTCAATTTCATCAAATTTGCACTCAATTAATCATAAATTTTATTATAGTAAAATTAAATTTTGTTAAATTATTATTCACATTCATCAACATGGCATTCAATTCATCCAATAAATATTCAATTTCATAACATTAACACCAAATTAACATTCAATTTTATAAAATCCATATTAAACTTCATTAAATTACTACTAAATTAATATTCAATTTAATCAAATTAACACCAAATTAGCTATCAATTTAACATTTAGTTTTATCAAATCTACATTAAATTTCAGCAAATTAACTTGAAATTGATTTTAAATTTGATAAAATTACCATTTTATTTTTGCAAATTAATAGTCAATCTCATCAAAATTGATATTCAATTTTATAAAATTAAGACTAAAATAATATTTAATTTTATCAAATTTAAAATTTTATTTCATTTTATTAACATCAAATTAACCTTTAATTCTATCATATTTATGAATTTCATCAATTTAACGTTCAATTTATAAAATTAACATTATCTTTTTAAATTAATCCCAAACTAACATCCAAGTTCATCAAATCAATACTAAATTGTCATCCAATTTTATAAAATTGACATTCAATTTCATGAATGAACATTTTTTTTTGAAAAAAACAATGATACATTTCATTAACTAGAAAAGATTACATCTTTATAGAGGGAAGACAACAAAAAAGAAGGAATTTCCTCCCCCCTCCACAAAGTTGGAATACTACAATTTATAACAAATTTTACTAGACAATTGGCAACATCATCTCATTCTCTACCAATTCTAGATACTGAAAAGGAATCAAAAGTCGACCCATAAAATTGAATTGGCTCCACAAAGTTTCCTATCTCCGATAAAAATTCCTATGCTTATTCCGTATTGCATCAACTACACCTTTGGAATCTCTTTCTAGCACAATTTTCGTTAACCAAGTTCATGGCCCAAACGCAAGACAGTAAAAGCAGCAAATGCTTCCACATTATTTGCTTAGCTGCCCAACTAATTTCTGACTAAAACCTGCTAGAAAATGTCCAAATTTGATTCCTTATCACCACTCCCACCCTTGAGCACCCACAAGAACTCCCCATTGGTGGAGCAATCCATGTAATATTCTGTAACCGATCAACTTGGGTATGCTCTGCCAGGCCTTGAGTTTGAGTATATCGAAATTGATGGAGAATGCAATCCAACAACTTCCCAAACAACTATTGCAAATGGACACCTCATAAATAAATGAAAGGAAGACTTGGATGGATCTCATTCGTTAAGAACTTGAGCTCTGATCCTTTGTAGATTTCATAATGTAGGTAGAATATCAATAAACAACCGCCAAGCGAACTTCTTGATTTTGTTAGGCACTAAAAGAGACCAAATAAACATACCATGCCATCTATCATCCTCCCTACTACTAATGGAACCGGAATTATGTTGAAAACCAACCAAATTCTGTTCAATAGCTAAATGATAAGCACTACTACGTACTGAAAAATAATCGAATTCCATATAGTACCACATTAGACAATCTTTCGGTAACTGTGGACATATTGGAATAGATAAGATATCTTTAACTTCAAAATTTATAAAATGTTGACGAAGAAACTCAACATTCTAGTTTTCAATCACATTACCAAAAAAAAAGACTTACTCTTGTATCATCATTGAGATCCGACATATGACTGCTAACCTTGAAAGTATAGTATAAACTCTTACCCTTTGACCATTACCAATTAACATTCAATTTAATCAAATTAATATGAAAGAGATGTTGCTCATTGCTTTAAGTAACAACCGAGGCAAACTTATTGTTAGTGTTAGTTTGTTCTGTATGGTAAGGGGTAAATTGGTAACTCACAAAAGAATAAGTTATCATATCACACATTTTTTTTTTTTGGCTTGAAAATAAAGTCATAGACAACGGGGTAGTTTGTTAAATGCGTATATAAATTACATGGGCGTGCAGTAATATTTCAGAAACTAGATGGGGTCTTAGTGAAATATAAGTTAAATTCAAGGGATGTGAGTGAAATTTATCCCTGTCCGAAAAAAAAATGCAGAGAATAATGACAATATTTTTGGTGGAAGAGGGGTTATGTACAACGTTTTTTTTTATCGAAGAGACGATCTTAATCTCTCCAATATTTAATATTTCGTGGCCATGATGACAATAGCAACATTTGTCATTATATTTAATGAGATCCATCCCACATTTACACAATGATCATCTTCTTCTTCTATGTATTGCACCCTTGTAATTACCACCTTTCTGCACAAATTTCGAGGTTCGACTCACTCTAATGTCATGAACTGTGGTAGCATGACCACCATGCTTAATGGGGTTTCTCCTATTCCCATAAGCTGAATCCCCACTAATCCCAACCCTAATCCGGTGACTCCGAGGCCTCAAAGATCTCCTCAAGTGATCTCCTCTATAGTCCCTCCATCGTCGAGACGATAATGATCTTCTCTCCTTTCTGTGCTTAGGCTCTTCTTCTTCACAAGTCATTGGGTATAACTCCATGACCATCTCTCTCTTGTGGTCTCTATGTTTTCTCTTGAGCATAGGAAGCTTATAACATAAGAAAGTGCAGCTATACTCCAACACAGAGAAACAGGTGGCAAAGCAGGCCCATGTAATTTTGCAGAGAGTTGTACAAATGCATTCGCAGATGCCCAATTTGTGTGAGAGATAAAAGAACAAGAGGACTGCACATTATCAAAGGAAAGCAAGTGAATAATATTGGAAAAGCCAAAACAAGAAGTCACAGTTTAGAAGCCAGAGCCCAATAGATTATATTCAGCTCCCTCTTAGCAACCTGACTAGTGGGGACCAAACTGGGTAATGACTCTTATAGAGAGGTTCAGAGCTCATGATCAATTTTAATTTCTCCCGTCAGTCCGCTTCCCTAATCTATCAAGTCTAGTGACGCAGTCATGTCATGCCCCTATTAGTTTTAAATCAGGGAATTAGTGCTCACATTATTTATTTTTAAAAAAGTAGTGATTGTAAGAGTTTTAGTTATTTTATTTTCTGGTAATTGTGTGGTGCCAATCATTTCTAACAAAGAGCATGTTGTACAAGAATTAAATAGAGTATACTCCATCTTGATCTAGTCGTAGAGCGAATATCTATCTAAGAAGTTGAATTTTTAACTTATAAAAATAAAACAGTGGTTAAGATTGATTTAATTTTCACATACTTTAATTTAACGGTATAAAATTAATCCCAAAAATTTTTTCCACACAAAAATATCACCATTTCTGCATGACCCTCAATGTTAGATAACTCAACCAACACACTCTCCAACGTCAAACAATCCCACCAATCTCCCTTTTCTCTCTGTTATAGTTCTACCTCCCTTATTTTCTTTTTGTTCACTGTATACTTTTATTTCAAATTATGTAATTAAAGAAAAAAATTAATAAATTACCATTTAAAATATAAATATTGCACAATCAATTCTTAATTTTAGTATTACAGAGACTTATTGCTAGTTGAACAATATTGTGCATTTATATATTTGGCAGTAAAGTTCTTATTTACTAAAAGTAACAAATTTCTTACTCACCAAGGTAGAACAGAGCTGCTACAATAGCCAACTTCAGCAGATGGGCAATACAGAAATTTTCGATGTAACAGATGAAATCCCATGTTGAACCACATGTTGAACTGAATGATAAGAAACAAATAAGCCAAAAGTAAAAGAATAAGAAGATAGAGACATCACTGAGATATATTTTCTGAAAGTTATACAGATAAAAGCAGAAAACAGGGAATGAGTATTAGTCTACTCAGTTTTTCAATTGTTTTAAGGAATGTATATCATACACACCTAAAAATTTTCTAACAGAAAATATGAAAGGGTGTTATAAAATTTTACCTGCAAGACTTTCCTGCAAGAAAATCAAGTGGGTGACCAAACAGATTGCCAACAACTTCTACAAATCCTGAAGAAAGTGACCCAATTACACTCCCCATAAATTAGGGTTAGATTAGCACTCCCACATAGTTGAAGAATATTTCCAAGCACCAGAAGAAATTATGCTTCTTCTTTTCTTCTGCAAAAAAACGTATAAAATGTCATATAACTTTGGCCAATCATCTTAAACTCAACAAATACATATAGCTTATTAGTCTTCTTGGGCTCTTGCGACGGCAATATGATGCTAGGTATAGTATGTTAACAAATATGTATAAAATTCCCTTGTGTTTGTTCAATAAAAAAACTCAGTTAATTTCCTTTTTTGGCTTCACCACCAACAAAAGAAGATGATTAAAGGAAAGAAACAAAATAACCAAATGCAAAATTTGTGGGCCATCTCCAAAATCAACTTAATTCTTTGGTCTATTGTGTAATTTGAAAAATGACTTCTTGTGCATCATTCAGTGATGAAATCAACAGCAAAAAATAAATTAATGTAATTGCGGCATTGTGCAAGGCCAGCGGGGAGGCTGTGGAGAGGAAGAATCTACATCGATCACAATGCGAGCAACAAGATAATTGTGTCCACGACCAAGCCAAAGACAGTTGTCATCACAACACTTGCTCTTCCGAAACTATCTACTTGACTAGAACACAAAGGGTTTCATGAATGCAGGTTCCAATTACATGGGTAGATATAAGAATCCATTGGAAGGTGCCTCTCAAGTTTCTGCCTTAAACGGGTTAGTTTGTGATCAACTAAGGTGGTGTAAAGCAATTCGTTTTGAATTCGAGTTTTACTGGTCAAAGAAAACCTAAATTTAGTGATTTGCAGGTAATTGTATGCATTTGAAATTTGTCTATGATTATGAAACGTTGTTAGAATGATTATTCAATACAAGGACAAAAAGGATCAAAAAGATAAATAAAGGCAGTTACCATTCTTGGCACGTGCATGCCTTTGTTTGTATATGCGTTGGGTGGGTGTGAGAGAGAGAGAGAGAGAGAGAGGTACTCCAGTAAATTGTAGAGCAGAAGGATTGAGGGCTGTTGATGTCTGAATTCGCAGGGGTATATGACACAGGGAAGAAAGAAGTGAGGGAGAAGAGAGTTCCATTTCAAAAGTTTTGAAAATAACCGACAGGCGGGTATGTATGTGGTATCCTGAAACCCTTTAAATTTGGGCTGTTCGCATCCTTTTCAGACGGGCTTAAGCCCATTAAAACTACAGAAGCAGTGTAACTGTGCAAGAACAAGAATGAGAAGATGAAAAACCCTAGCTTCAGAAGAGCCCACAGCATGGCATCATTAAACAAATCATTCACCGGGAGTTAATAATATATTTCATTATATACGTATACATATAAATTGTATGTAAAGTTGAATTCTCAATTTATAAAAACACACAATAACAGTCAAGATTTATCCAACGTATACGTATAAATAATATGTATATATATCTATCTACTATTACAGCTAATAAATTAAATTTTCAAATTATAAAAATACAATAACAATCAAGATTTATCCAATTTTTATTTATTTCGATCCAATGGTACAAAATTCACTCTAAATATATTTTTTCCACTCAAAGATATCATATCGTCAAATAACTTAATTAACACACACTCCTCAATAGCAAACAACCCTACTAAGTTTCCCCTCGTTCACTTTAGTTTTAAATTCAATAATTAAAAAAAACAAATAAATTATAATTTTAAATATAAATATTTTATGATCAATATTCAATTTTTTATATTACAAAGTGACTTTAAGCAAGAGTTATTGCCAAGTATATACAATATTGTGGATATATAATATAAGCAAATCTACATATGCTTGATCTTTAACCCAAAAACAAGTTCAAGCTCGGTTTGTTTGATGAGATTGAACCTAGCCCAAGCTTGGACCAATAATTGACAAATAAAACTTCAACAAAATGTTTGAAACTCGTCAAAAAAACACCTAATAGAACCCGAACACTCTTCAAGAACGACTACTAGTCGGCTCAGTTCAGTTTTGATACAGTTTGTGAACAGATTCAACTAAATAAACATTCGACCAATCCAATATCATTCAGGAAAGACATCCGAAAATCATATAAATATGGCCATCGAGAAGCACAATTGTTTTTTTCAGAAGTCACATGAAGCGTACAGTAATGTCACGCTCTACAGAATCATGGGGTTCCTGTCACCGAGCTCAAAAGACCGCCACATTATCCACAGGCTAAAAGAGGCACTGAAGAAAACCGGGTATCAAAGTGGGAAGTGTAGACAAATGGTATTGCTTTCAAAAGGTGTTAATCCATCCTTCCCTTCAAGATCCTCTCCGTTACTTCAGTTGGTGTACTGCAGCAAAAGTAAACAAACACATCCTTATTAGCATCAAAAGCCTAGGCACGTATAGAAATTGCGAATTGAATCGCCTAGTGTCACTTATGCTTCACCAGAGCTATGTTGCTGATTTAAATTTTTACATTTGCTGTTATCATGAAATAAATGCATCTGTGAAATGGATTATCACATGATGCGGAAATAATAGGAAAAGAGAATGGAGCACAGAAAGGCTTACACAACATAGACGTGTCCTCCCCAACCGCTCAAACAGTCACGATCCACTGATGACAGCAAAGCTTGAGAGATGGTCTCAAATAATTCTTCAGGTTCCTAAACAGTTGTAAAGGAAAAGGTTAAATAAAGCTGATACCTACCAGTACATTAGATGTGATTGGATCTATGGACAGGATCACATAAAAGCCAAATTAATACTCATGTTCTATATGCCACTGTTTATTCCTTTCACCTCTCATCCTTTCACTTACACTTCCTCTACCCAATGGGCAGGATCACAAAATGCAGCAGGCATAAAATACAACAATAAATTCAAGTTACTTAGCAAAAGGAATCACATGTGCTGCTTCCACAGGTGATACATTTCAGTGGAAAATAGATGTTCCAGATGGTGGATTTTTTTTTTCATCTCTATTCCCACAGTAATACATAAAGATTTAAAAAACATGCGTAGTTGATCCTTTGCCAATTCCCTATACATGGACGTCCTTCTCTACTGAATTCAATTATAATGCGTCATAGTCTCTCTCACTTTAAGCTTGTTAATGAGCATGTTTGCAGAAAGCACTTTTATTAGTGATCAGTGAGGCACATACATCCAAAAAAGAAAGACAATGCAATGATGCTGGCACGACAAACACAACAATACAAATATACACTTCCACTTATTTTCATCAATTGTATTCAAATTTAATGACGTATGATAAAAAAATTGGATAGTCTGGCTCCATCATCAAATTAAAATGTGAATCACCATAATCAATCATCACTCATGTTGTACACGTGTAATTATGTGTACATGATACATCTGTAACTGCATGTAGATATGAACACCGAGTATGCACATACTTATTGTGACGATTCATCTCCTCCTACCATGCCCACACCCCCTATAAAGCCTTATCGAATCCTTTGCTATTTTGATGGCCAAAATTTAGACAAATTCACTATTATTATTCATTTTGAGCATTAAGCCTGAGCTTGGCTCCATCACACTGATGAACCTATGACCTTGCTAATCAAACTTAGGTCGAGTCTAGTGCTACATAATGCTTTTTGTAAAGCTAATCTACATAGAGCTACTTGTGTATAATTTATGATCTAATATGACTCAAAAATGTTATTCTAACTTTTTATGGAATTCAAACGGATTGGTGGACCATTAGTGTTTTCTTATCTCCCAATGTTGTTAAACTTTTAGGGGGCAAGAGTATGCTATGTCCAACAACCTATACGAATTTATGTAATCAATGGAGACTAAAAGGCCCTAACCCAGTTTTCTCCGAATGACCAAAGCTACTCAGGAATGTACTGGAAACAGGCCTAACCTTTTACCGAATGGTTCAAAGTTGATGTTGAGTATTTTACCAATGCACTAGACAAATCCCCTGTACTCAAAGGAGACTGTTCAGAGAATAGTAATAACCTTTCATTAATTCTTCTACAATTGAGTGACGCAACACTAACCCTATATTTGATTTCCTAACAAGTTCTAGTAGTGATATTAGAACATTCTTATCCCCCCCCCCCCTTCAACCATCCTACCTTTCTAATCTTAAACCAATATGTGCCTACAAGCCTTTATTGTGGCACCTCTAGCAACATAAACGTCAAATTCAGATGACAAAGTTTGCTTCCCACTGTTCAATGGCATGCTCATAAGGCCTAAATCTACTCGCTATATGTTTAGCAAAAGTCATGTGAGATTGAGGTAACATCATGTTGGCTGTCAGGAATCAAGAAGCCCACTGCATGAGCATGGTTGAGATGAGGAGGTAACTGACTGACTGGCAATTTTTCACCAATGCTCTGTGTGTGTGTGTGTGGGCACTTGCACCAGCTGTGCGTGCATGCAATCATTGTTTTGGTCTCACCACTTTAGCTGATGAGACAAGCCTCCTCCTCGCAGAATAAAAAAACAAAATACAACTATGGTGGCATTCAGTGACCATAAGAAAGAGTTAAGTCTTGGCCGAATGAAAAAGCTTATCCTGCTAATGTGCAAGCACGAGTTTCTAAATCACTAATTCAAGTTCATATAGGAGTCCTCAATACGAGGCTCAGCTACTTTGCTGCATGACAACTGAGTCATTCTGCACTTAACAATATCTGGTGTAGACTGAGAGAGAGAGAGCGAAGAGTGTGGGCAAAGTATAAACACTCCAATTTAAGCAAATCCTAGAGACCCTAGGAGAAGCATCAGTTGTCAACTCAATTAAATCATCATGCAAGACATGGGATACATTGACAAACCATATCAGGCTTGAACATTGATTCGCAGGCACCATAAAGGGATTCTGAGGCAGTACCAGCAACAACAAAATCTTTGGCAAGCTCCCTGCATTTGGAAAAGGAGACCAATATAAAGTAAATTAGTGCAAGTATAAAAGAGAATATTGCCTGTGTATATCACCGAAAAACCCAATATATATTACCAATCAGCGAGTGCTCAAGATTGCGTGCTGGTTCTAAGCAAGGGTGATTTAACTACTGCTACATGACACAATGCCTTTCAAAATGGGAGATGCTTGAATATTAACCAATTTACAGTGAGTGAAAGAGAATTTAACAAGTCCTAAGAAACACATAATGCAGAAGATTTCCATTTCTAAAGGTCCCTGTATCCTATGATGTATAAGGTAACAAACACAGATGAATCTTGGGCATCTTCTTATTGGTATTGCTATTAAATACACTAAGAAGAGTAAGCACTCAATGAGTAACAAATAAGCAAGGTGCTTCATGCAGATAGATATTTACCGAGAAAGCTACTACAAAAACTGTAGAGAGAAGATTTTTGGAAAAGATCATGAGATTCAGATTTAAGACATATATGATTGGGTTGTGACTATGATAGTGACAAACATGGTGGGCTATAAAGAAAAAAGGAGCAAAAATAGGTATACGGATCATTCTAAGACCCTAAATTTGTATCTGGCTATGAATGAATTGATTACACACATCTATGGTGATGTTTCATGGTGAATGCTATTCTCTGATGATAATGTTATAATTATCGAAAGTGATCGAAAGTGAAATAGGAATTGAGAAAACCATTATAATCAAGAAGTTTTAAAATACGTAGGATTAAAGTAGGAAGTAAGAAATGTAATATCAGTATAAGTAGAATAGAAAAGATTAAAAAAAAAGGGCTTGCGGAAAGATTAAAGAAGCCAAGGCAAAAGGCAAAACAAGTCCTGTTCCGCATTCAAGCGGAGAAGGAGGAAATAGTAAATGTATCTTTAATGGTTTACAGGTGCCTTATTGAAAATCTAGTAAGGGGAGCTAGAGCTAGAATAGCATTCCAAGCACCACCCTTGGTTGCAGCCTCATTTATCAAGGAGTGAAGAGTCTAACCATCTAGGCTCGATTGTTAATAACGACAGAGATATTGGAAATGGTGTGGCTCATTGAATTAAAGCACACTGGCTCAATCAGAGAAGTACTTCAAGCATATTATGTAATTGACAACACTATTTAAACTGAAGTGACAATCCTATCGAATAGCTATAAGGCCAGCTATGCCTTAAGTGACAGAATCTTGGACAACCAGGGAATAAAAATTGAAACAGAAGAAATTAAGATAACCAGGACATGTACAACAAAGAACAGGTGCACCCATTAGAAAGAGTGACATGATCATGTTAGTGGCGATGCAAGAGGAAGACCAAATTACTCGTGGAATGAGGTGGTTGAGTGCATGAGTGCCTGTCATTTAAACCGAACACATAGTCTTTGCAGAGTGAAATGGTGAAAGGGATCCTTGTAAGTTGTAACGAGCCTCTAATAATAAGGATAATTGTTTGGTTTGGTAACTTCATATATAGCAGAAATGACATCATAGAAATAGTTGTTAATATCTTACGATCCATTGCAATACAATACCCGAACGATACGTATCTAAGAATCATATCATTTTTCTTCGTACGATATGCGATACATATATTACGATACTAATACAATAAAAAAACGATACGCTCAATATCAAAATGACCTCTTTTCACAAGGTTTTTTCTACCTAAACAATGAAACGACATTATTTCCCTGATATGTTGTTTTTATTTTTTGGTTTGACATTAAAAGAATGAACCTATCAATCACACCTTATTCTCTCAAGACCCTATTTTTGTTTCTTCTACATCTTATTCTTCAAACAAAATCCTACCTACATTTCAATCTCAGAGGTATAGACAAACGATTGTTTCTCTTTTGACCTCTATTGCACACATGAATTACACAAAATGATAAATGAGTTGAAATATGTGTGTATAAATTTAAGCATATCTTACGAGACATGATACGTTACAATACACAACACATTATTTTTGAAAATCGACACCCCATTTCGATACACGTTTTGACAACCATGCATAGAAGGAATAAATGAAAAAAGTGTTCCCAAGAGAGGCTTGTAATAGGACAACATAAGTAATATGAATGAAGTAATAATAGAACAAATGAACCATTTCATATGATCACAATAAAAACCTAAGAATATAGACGGCAACCGACCTCTATCCAAAAGACTAATCTCTCAAATTGACAAATGCAAATGCATATAAGCACTTGAAGCTGCTAAGAACCTTCTCACGAAATTATGACAACATCAAAAGAGAGAGGAACATACTTTGCTCCGATAGAGTCCATTGTGCAAATGAAGGGTTTGTCTTCAGCACCCAATCCAGCAATCACGGGCTGGCAGAAGTAGGGACCAAACCTAAAGAAAAGGAATTTCTGATTTCATTATGACATATTTTTGTGCATAATTGAGCTAATCAAAATAGCATTGTACTAAAGCCTAAATCTGTTTCTAATCTACTCGATGGAAGAGAAAATAAATGGAAACAGAGACAAAGAAACACAAGGTTAAATAGGACAGTGATACAAATATAAACTAAACTTTTTCTTGCACTAAATTCGCATAAATAATTAAATACTGACCAAAGAATCAGTAAATATGTACTGAAGTACTAAACCAGAAACACAATGCATGTCACTATTGGCAACCATATCAATGCGATGCAGGTGCGTTCTGTTTCTAAATGGTTGCCTTCCATTTTACACAAGAAATAGAGATAAATGCAAATCCCTACTCAACCTGGTGCCTTAAGAATCCGAAGCTGGATGCTAGCGGAAGTAGTGCACCAAAGAGCAATGCGGAGCATTCACAAAGAAATGGTGCAAGCAGAAGGGAAGTCTTCCAATGATGCATGGAAAGTACAATGAAGTTGAGGAATCACATGCTAGAGGAGATGTCAATGATGCCGAGGAAGTGATGAGGCGGACTTATGTCAAAACTTCACATGATGTTGTTGACAAAGTAAATACTAATGATCATATTAGTTCTCATGTTTGTGTCAAATACTTTTGTATGATATAATGATGTGACAACGAACTAGATAAATGCTTACTAATGTGATCAACCTGCACAATAACTCACTAAATAACTCCAATGCTTATTGTAGTCCTGACTTAGGATTTGAATTTGGTCATTATTTCTAAAGCTTCCAATCATACCATGTATTGGGGCCAATACCAAGATTGATACAGACTTTGAAAGCATGATACAATGTCCATTCTCAATCATTTTCCATTTTTATATTTTCTATAAATAAAATTTCATTTAAAGTTCCAAAATAGAGGGGGTGCTATCCATGTAAATGCAATGTGCATAAAAAGAGCCCAAAAAACTCCATATACAAACTACAGGCCACAAACTACAGGCCAGGCTCCAAAGAATTCTCCAATAAGACCAATAAAACAAACAGTAGATCCTGCATACACCACCTTAAAGCAAAGAAAAAAATGACAAGTTTGCATCTTTTCTTACGATCCAAGCAACTTACATAGTCACCTACAATGATACAATTGTAAATTTTAAGAGCATTGTGAGTGTCCAGCTTGAATTCCAAGTACACAAAAAAGCTGCCATGGCATTTTTTGGCAACCTGGGGTGCACTAATGAGATGCAAATACCCTTCGATAATATTTTTGAAACCTTCACATGAATAACAAGTATGTTCAAATACAAAAAATAAACATAGAGGAATGATATTTCTGTCAAAAAATACTACTAAGCGAAGTAATCTTGCATACCACATAACCTTTACTCCTCGTCCAGCAATGGCATTTTGATAAGTTCTCACACTCACCCTTCTCCACAATGTTCACTAGAAAAAATTTCCAAATTTCTCCTCCTAACAAGCTGTTTGTTCAATGTTAAGCATTTCTAGAAATTGATCAGCATTCTTCGGAAATTGCTTGCTCTTAAGATGCAAAAAATTTCACAATAATCATTTTCTAAGTATCCACATGCTACTTATAGGTCCAAATTATAAACATGTATCTATATCATTAATAAAGGGAAAGCAGGGTGTTTGGTGTCTACCGCTAAAATGTCCATAATATCCTTTATTTATTTCTTCCCAACTAACTACCCATAACTTCCTCTTTAACTCCACTCAAATGTCTCTATTCATGAAATATCAATGTTACCATTCATTTCTTCCCATAATTACCCAACTTTTTTTTTAACCCTATATAACTGTCTATTGCTATCTTCACACAGATAAACCATATGTGTAGGACATCTGGTGTAAATAAACATATAAGTATATGCAAGTGCAAGCACCAATTATTCACATCATAATACACCTAACTTATGCATATCCAAAAATACATGCAGATAGATTCATTTGCAAATATATATGTGCATATGCAAATGCTCACACACACATGCTCATGTGTACTCAACTGTAAAAGTAAATGTACTAATACGTTTCTATTTTTTGTTGTAACAAACATGAATCCATGTCAATTCAAATATTTGTTTGGGTAATTAATGCAGTTTGAGTAGATAAAATTAGTTTTAAAAAAATCAACCAAACCAAAAAATCAAAAGGAAAATCAAATTTTCATGAAAAAACCTTCCAAGAAACCAATTTTTCATCATAAACCATTTTATGATGAAACAACCACAGCATAAAAGGCATACAACAATCAAAATCTGTCTTCCCGAATTCAGACCCAAGCATCAGTTGTTTAAATATAACTCAAGGATGAATACACAATAGAACCACTGCAATTTAAAAGCCACAATTTTTGGTTTCATAACATGAACGATACCGATTCATAATTACATGTCTATATTGCATAATAAAAACTCATTAAATTTGGGCCAACCGTTAGTCATTCCAATGCCTGATATGCACAAGTCTGTATCTGTATGTATGCAATTCATCAGTGCGAAGACAATTTCACCAACCTTTTCTCATAAAGAATAGCAGAGACAAGGCTAGCAAAAGTCTCAGGCTTCATATCCCTCTCCTCTCGAAGTTGATACAACTTGTGCCGGAACACAAGCCTTTGATACCTTCAACAACTCAACCAAACCAACAATCAAAACAAAGTTTACATGAAATTGAACCACAACTACAACAAAAAAATCAGAAAGTTAACTCACAGAGTTTGGGCATCGGTGCCCAGACCTGACAGACCAATGAAGAGCTTATCGTGAATCTTGTAAATCTTTTGAAAATCGGTAGCGATTGTCTGAAGCTGAACGCCGAGCCGCCGATCGCTGGCGATCGCAAAGCAGTTCTTCCCAACCATCGCCACAAGGGCACTGCCATTATATTCAAAGATCTGCCAATTAAATCAAAAAATAAGCACAATAAGCTAGGGTTTACAAATACAGAGAGAGAGGGAGGGAGAGAGAGAGGAGCTTACCGACATTATGGGGAGAATTGGAGGAAAGGAGTGTGCAAAATGGAGTGTTTTCCCACTACTCTCTCTGCTAGTGTGTCAAAAGCGAAAGGATGTGTCTATGTGCTGTCTTGGGCGACACTCTTTGATCGGAGCCACGGTGGACGGGCGGGGCTGGTTTTTTTTTTTTGGTAACTAATGTTTGGGTAAATCACATAAATGACCTTGAACTTTAGTCTTTGTTTTAAATTGCCCCCTCAACTTTCAATTTTTTTAATTTACCCCTGGATCTAGGAGTTCATACGAGGCTAGCGGGATTCCACATTCAATCGGAGTTAGACTTAGTTGGTTTACGAAGGGAGGGCACTCAAGACTCTTTATAGTAGTTTATCCCCTTATTTGGCTTCAAGAAGCATTAGAGTCCCTTATTTTATAAACACCTTATGTTAAATTTAGGCATTACGTGAGGATGAAACCCTACACTTGACTTGCACATGGCAACCGATGGGGAGCATTTTTGACACATCAACATTATTATGTACATTTGTGTGCCAATTTTTCTTCCCATTCTCTTCTCCTCGTGATGCTTTGTTTATTAGACCCTTTTCTACGGTAAGTTGACTAGGTATTGCAAGAAACACAACAATGGAGGGGAGAGAGAGAGAGAGAGAGAGGAAGTCAAGTCATGGATGTTTAGTACTACTATGGGAGAAGAACAAAAAAAGAACCTCCTAGAAATTATTTCACATCAAAATAATTGGAGTGAAAATGCAGGTAAGACTATGTATGTCATCCAAAGTCTCCCACCCATTTTCCATTGCCCAATTCTCTTGCTCTCGTATCATTGGTGATTCTCTATAGTTGAGTGAGTTTTCAAGTTCTCTGTGTGCATGTGTGATATATCCATATAGGAAAGTTGATCTACTTCTTTATTAAATTAGTTGATAATTAATGCTTTATGTGTTGTCAATCTTTTTGGTTAAATAAATATTGTTACCCGTTGTAAATCGACATTCAAAATCCTTTCATGTTGATTGTAAATGGTGGGGATGTTGGGTGCCACATCAGAGACCACATGACTTTTTTTGATCCCGAAAGAGATAATATAGGAAACGAGTTAGAGGCACTGACGGTGAGTCTTCGACCAAGTGTAGGTGATGGTGTTGTAGATGAGGGAGGGGTTAGTCGCCGTAGACTATGGTTGCTCTTTCTAGGAAGCGCATATGAGTGAGAGGGCTTGAATTTGGAGCTCTTAGGTTCAATTAGTCCATACTCTATTTCTATGGCTATGTATGAAGTTTTGGAGTGGATGTTCCTTATATCTAAATAATTATTTTCAGAGAGAACAATGAGAGGAAAATTTGGCGCGTAACTGTACATAAATGTTATTGTGCCAAAAATTCTATCCACCAATGGCCATGTTCAGGTCGTGTGTAGGGTTTCATCCCCACTTTAACGTCTGAATTTAACAGAAAGTGATAATTAAAATTATTTAAATATTTTAGGGGGTAAATAAAAAAATTAAAAGTTGAGAGGGTAATTAAAATAAAGACTAAAGTTTAGGGGTTATTTATGTAATTTACTTTTAACATTTTACATCTGGCTCAAACGCATTATGAGAGAATTAAATATTGAATTGTACTATTTTTTAATTAATTAGGTTTAATATTTTGTTTGGTAAATAAATTTGATACCGTATTAATTTAAAATATATATACTAATCATGTACTTATCATATATATTTTTATACAATAGACTTATATTAAGGAGGTCTTTTAACACTACCAATAGAGGTGGTATTATAATCCACCTCAAACGTATTATTCTACACATTTAATTTCTATTTGGTTCTTAAAATTTCAATTGTACCATTTGCATCCTTAATGTTTTAATCGAGTTTCGATTCAATATTTTGATTACAATGATTTAAATAGTTTAGGGGGTTAATAAAAAAAATTGAAAGTTGAGAGGGTAATTTAAAATAAAGACTAAAGTTCAGGGTTCATTTATGTAATTTATCCTTAATATTTTATACTTAATTTCCATTCGATCCCTAAAATTTTAATTTCACCAAATTACATCCTTAACGTTTTAATCGAGTTTCGATTCAATCCTTTGATTACAATGATTTAAATTGTTTAGGGGGTTAATAAAAAAAATTGAAAGTTGAGAGGATAATTTAAAATAAAGACTAAAGTTCAGGGGCTATTTATATAATTTACCCTTAATATTTTACTTTATTTCTATTGGATCCTTATAATTTTAATTTCACCAATTACATCCTCAACGTTTTAATCGAGTTTCCATTCAATCCTTCCATCCAAATCTATTAAATTATTTTAACAGAAGGAGATCACATAACTTGTTTGCAAGGGTATATTTGTTGAGTAAAAAATCTCTCACTTACAGACAAAAGTATTTATTTCCATGTTTCACATTACCTCTCAAATTTTCACTTTATATCATTTTTTGGGGTTATTATTTTTTACTTTTTCAAAACAGATGAAACAAATTAAGGTTCATATGAAAAATAAATAGGAGACAAATATATTTTTTTTTACTCAAGTCACATTTTGTCCCGGAAAGTTAAAGACTAAATTGAAATTCAGGGCCGACCCAACAGGAAAGTGAAAAAAGTGTGGACTTTAGGCCCTAATTATACAAGAGGTCTTATATTTCATAGTCCCAACCTTTGAATTTATAAGTCAATGCTAATTGAACCTTTATAAAATTTAAACTCAATAAGAAAATTTTATGTTCAATGGTTTAGACCCATCCATAAATTAGTCCACAAAATTCAAAATCAATAACTTTTCCCCCATCTTAGTGCTTCACAAAATTCATATCTTTAAACAAACCTATAAATAGACCACTCATTTTTGCTAGCAAGAATAATCTAATTTTGATCAAGAGAGAATCAAAATATCAAATTTTAATTATTTAACATAATGCTGATAAATCAAAATTTATTGTTTCATATTTTTAGGACTTTTGTTTAAATTAAATCTTATATATATATATATTTTTAAATATAGATCCTTTGTGATCATATGAATTTATTTTGATTATATATTATGGACAACCATCAGAATATAAAAAATTAAAAATCAGAAAAATTAAAAAACTAATTGTACCTCAATTTTTTTTTTTTTTGATAACTTTGTTACAAGTATCAAACAAAAATATGTTAGTAATGAATAGAATATGATTGTAAAAATTTGAGAATATAATAATTTGATTAGGAATGTGTATTTGAACTAGTGATTTTTTTTTTTGAAAAAATTACATTATTATTAAAAAAAATCCAAAAGTCTTCATTCAAATTTATTGCTTTAGGCCTCAATATATGTCGGGCCGCCTTGAAATTCAATCAAAACTCTAAAAGTTTGATTATTACAATTGAAATTTTAAAAACTAAATAGAAAATAGGTTTATACTTTAAAGATGTAAATTATAATTTACCTTTTTAAAATTTGCTATACCTACGAGCCCAAAAATTCAATATGAATTGGAATCTAGACCTAACATATTCGGATGGAAATAGGTAAATCCATTAGACTAATTAAATATATGAATTGATATGAATTCAATTAAACATAAAAGAAATCTATTTAATATGACAAATAAGAAATACGATCCAGCACTGGATAATTATTACATAAAAATAAATGTGAAATAACACATAATTTAAGTCCATCAGCCCAAATCACTTGGGAGTTGCAAAATAAAAAAAAAATCCAGTTCAACAAGGAAGTGATCTTGCTTCTTTCAAGGCTTTAAGCGCGTCGATTGATCCATATCACAAATTCTCCCCAAAAGAGTGAAAGGCCACCTAGTCATTGAAAAACCATATAGCTTATTTGTTTTATTTTTATATTTTTCAAATTTACTATAGCATTTACTTCCCTTTTTGAAAGCACTAGGAAAAAAAGAGGTGAAAATTCTCCTCTATATGTTTTTTATAATTTTTTCCAATGATAGATCACTGAGAATGAATTCAAGTGAGACTAAAACTTATAACATTCAAGTGTCTTCTATTTAGGCATCCCTCCAATTTCACAAGAATTGGATGATCCTTCAATTCACTTTTAATTGATTAAGATTTATATTTGTCAACAGATTTACTAAAATTTGAATATTTAAAATTTAGAAATTCTTTTGAATCAACTAACTTTGCCTTTTGCGTATATATCATGATAATTCAAAGGGAATTGGATGATCCTTGGAGGGGAGACAAACCCGTATTTCTACTAATACAAAATTGATGACCGAGAAAAAAAATAAAGTAAAGTGTATTACAGGGTTCTAAATTCCATAAAAAAGGAGGTTTTGAATTTATATTTAGACAAAAAGGAACCTAATTAGGATCATATTTATATGGAAAGTTGACCCTGGCATGATCTGCAGTCCTGGACAGGATCAAAACCATTTAATGACTTATTACTGATTTTAAAATTAAACTAAATATTAAAATGATATCAAATGACTGAAAAAAGGTTATATATTTTTACTACCATTATACTTATAATTCCAATTTTCAAGTGGGGAAAAGGGAGAAGGGAGAAGGGAGAAAGGGAATAGAAATCATCTACACCCTGCCTCTCTTGGGATACAAAGAATAGAAATCAAACAACTTTTCCCCGAACTATGGTAATTTTTAAACTCTTTTTTTTTTTTTTTTACCATTTTACAATTATTTTGAACTTTATTTACTAAATTATTATTTTTAAATTTTCAAGAAATTACTTTTATTGTGGTGCTGATTTGTTCACAGCTCCTTTATACTACAGTATAGGAGCCGAACCATGGTTTGATGCGCCTAAATGACATGTGTCATAGGACTGTTCCATGGCAACGGTCATTGAACAGTAGGGTTCATGTCAATGCTTCTATTAAGCGGATTTAACAGGTTTATAATTGCTAATTTGGTTTTTATTTTGTGTGGCATTCACGGGATTTGTCTAAAACTATTAGCGGGGGTAGGACAACTAAATAGAAATCAAAACAAATGGGGTCCATAGTTGAGCTGGCTACATGACCTAACTATATCTATGTATCAAAGAAACTCCATGACACTTGGTGTGTCATTAAAATCTTCTCCTTTGGTTCTTGTCACACTGAAACATCCGTCCAACTATATGTAAAAACAAGTTGACGTACAACACTCTATAGCAACTTTCCCTGCCGTCCCTCTCCCTCTCCCTCTCTAAAAGCCTTCTAATAAGCAAATACGAACAAATGTCCAGTTTTTTTTAGTAACAAAGACAAATAGCTCCTAATATGCCATAATTTAAGCAAAGTCATCATCAATGTCATCTTTATAATAAATTTGTAACGGCAATGGTTTCAACCTAGAAGCCTTTAGATATACAAAGAGAAACATAGAGGGGAAGTTGTGTTTTAGAGAGAGAGAGACCCAACTGGCATGGAGACAAAGCGAGAGGTGGAATAGATTTGCCATTTACAAAGAAGATTTCTTTCCACCCTTAACAAGGAGAGATACCCCCAACTGGCATCACAGAGAGAGAGATTGAAAGATTTCCTAAGATACTATAAATATTGGTGAGCCTCATTCTAAACATTTATGCAATAAGAGAGAAAGAAGAGAGAGAGAGAGAGGTTTTGTAATGGTTTGCCATTGAGGTCAGCATGAAGTGTTTAGGAGGGATATATTATAGAGAGATGGCGTGGACGTTATTTTGGGTTGGCTTAGTACTGGTGGTGAGTGGCAGTGCCAGTGGAGGGAACGTGACATACGATGGCAGATCACTGATCATAGACGGGCAACGAAAGCTTTTGTTCTCCGGTTCAATTCACTATCCTCGAAGCACCCCTGATGTATGCTCCCCTTCTCTCTCTCTCTCTCTCTCTCTCTATATATATATATATATATATATATATGGCATGTGAGTTTCATTGATTAGATGTTTAGAAGAACTGGCTATATGAGGAAAAGTGTAAATGGAGAGAATCAATCGGGTCATGCACCCAAATTTCGTAGTCTTGGGTTGGTAAGATAATTGGGTAGATGAGATTTTAGAGGAAGTTCTAACCACGTACGACACCATGATGCTTGTCGTTGTGGTTTTGCCAAGATAACCTGGTAATAAACTTACCACCATTTACGTAGACCAATTGCGAAAATGTGTAGCTACTTTTATATTGTTTTAGACGTAGGCGTTTAAACTCTCTATGAATTTCCTCTTTTTTTGTCCATTTTTCGGAGATCATGATTTTAAATGAATTGATAAAAGAATTAGGACAGACAAAAAAACACCACCATCTCAAAGCCACGTACCATCCCAATCCATCCATAAACCCTTTAGCGTTAGATAATTCTTCTTAAGTATTTATTTTAATTTATTTTTATTTTTATGTCTAAGCCCTATTTTTTTTTACAATTTTACTTTTTCTTATTTTTAAAATTTTTTCCTTTATGTGTTAAATACATTTAGACCACTTTTTCTAAGCCCTATTTGTTGTTCCATAATTTACTCTTTCTTATTTTTAAATTTTTTTCCTTTTTTGTATTAAATGCATTTAGATCACATTTGCAAAATATTAATTAAACGTAATTTTACTTGACCAAAGTTATCTTCACTAAAAAACAAAAAAAAAAACTTTACGAACCGATACATTAATCATAAAATCTAATAATAAAGTTTTGACAATCTCAGCATAATATAATATACATAATCCCCAAAAGGACATAGATTTGGATGCGACCTACTGGAGTTTCAACATGCAATAATAGACTTCTGGGTATGATTTATCATATAGCCAGCTTGGTCAATGGAATATGTTAATGCAAATCTTAGAAATTAAATGACTTAAAAAAAAAAAAGGCAATCTTGCACACAAAATTTACCTCATGAAAGAATCTTTTATTCAAACTTCTGACGTATAGGCTATAATGGAACAATTTTACCACTAAGTTAAGACTCATTCATTCTCAGAATAAATAACACACCTCTAAAGAATTATAAATTACTAAACTAAGGGATACACATCTGGTAAATACAATACTCACACTCGCTGCATTTCCCTACTTAATGACCCACTAGAGTATAATAAACTGGAGTTCACCAACAATAACAATATCTCTGTAAGTAAGAAACTACATTAAAATTCAAAACGATGAAGCTTTACATTTTCTATGGGTAGAACAATGAATAACAAACAATTTTGGGTGTGTATTTGTGCAGATGTGGCCTTCATTGATCTCCAAAGCCAAAGAAGGTGGAGTAGATGTGATCCAGACCTATGTTTTCTGGAACCTCCATGAGCCCCAACCTGGGCAGGTCAGTCCTCTCTCTCTCTCTCTCTCTCTCTTTACACACACACACAAACACCCCCCCCCCCAAAAAAAAAAAAAAAACTCTGTGTATATAAAATCATGTTTTTTGAACTGCAGTATGATTTCAGTGGAGGGCGTGATATAGTAGGGTTCATCAAGGAAATACAAGCACAAGGACTATATGCATGCCTTCGGATTGGACCCTTCATTGAGGGTGAATGGACTTATGGGTAAAATCCTCCTTCCTTCTTTTATTTGCAAATTTTAAGTAGGATCATCACGCATGAGAGAAACCAACCATTAAAACCACTTGCTTTGCATTCTACTTAATAAATGAGTCATCTGTCAAGACACAGCCCAACCACACGGTTATAAATGGATTGTGCAAACCCATTTAGTTGCATCAACAGTCATGAAATGGTTATTTTGCTATTGCAGCGGTCTGCCCTTCTGGTTGCATGATGTACCAGGCATCGTTTTCCGATCAGACAATGAACCTTTTAAGGTATTGGCCTTCACCTCAAAATGACCTACTCACTGTGATGTATAAAACAGCAGTGCTGCCCTTGACACAACTTTATTTGCATCAATGGCAGCTTCACATGCAAAACTTCACCACCAAAATAGTCAACATGATGAAGGCAGAGGGACTATATGCTTCACAAGGAGGTCCAATCATACTTTCACAGGTTGAAACAGTAATAAGTCTGACACTCAAGTTCATTTTCATCCATTTCACGCTCAACAATGAGATATATGCAGATTGAAAACGAGTACCAAAATGTGGAAAAGGCTTTTCGAGATAAAGGGCCACCTTACGTTCGTTGGGCAGCAGAAATGGCTGTGGGACTGCAGACGGGTGTGCCATGGGTGATGTGCAAGCAAGATGATGCTCCTGATCCAGTGGTAAGTCTCCTGCACTTCAAATATGATGCTCCTGATCCAGTCACTTCAAATGACTTTGATGGAGATCTGAATGAATCCTTGGGGGGGACCAGAAACAGTAGATGAAATGTGTTTTATGAGTGCATTGAAGCTATATCAACAAAGAGTGGCTTCTTGTAGCTTATAGAAGTTGTTCAGGCATGCCCTCTCCAATACCGACCCCCCGCCCCACACCCCCCCCCTCCCCCCCAAAAAAAATCCAGTGTCAAAACCATGACCCAACAGGATGTTTCTTCCTCCCCCAGATTGCAATATGACTTGTTCGCTAGAAAGAGACCACCACTGATAGGATCCTAGAGCTTAACAAGTATAAACTCCTTGTTCAAACATTCACTTCCAGATTGTTTTGACAAAACTTCCATTTGTTTCCATGGATATAGTCATGATACAATTATAAATCAATGAAATTTTCCAATCTGCAGATCAACACTTGCAATGGGATGATGTGTGGAAAAACATTTGCAGGGCCAAACTCGCCAAATAAGCCATCAATGTGGACAGAGAATTGGACAACTTAGTAAGCTATCAACTAATTTGTTTGTTGCTTTTCTGTTCATACATAGAAAAATATCACTAACATTTTTTTATCTTTTGTTTTCTGCGTGAAGCTATCAAGTGTATGGTCAGAACACAACCCTGAGATCAGCTGAGGACATTGCATTTCATACTGCTCTCTTCATAGCAAATAAGAGTGGGAGCTTCATAAATTACTATATGGTACAGTAACACAACTATCTCAAACATCGTATACACTATACTTGTGCACTTCAACCTGTAATAACATGCCTGTCGAATATTCAATAACAAAACCAAAAAAATGGTCCTACCAGTGACCAATGCAAAAAACTTCTGCTTATAGCAGGGTCACACAAAAGTACTGGGTAGACAACCCTACTCCATGTTTGGAGGGACTAGTTCCCAAACTCAAACCCAAATCATATCACTTGGGTCAATTCACTAGAACGACCACATTAATCAATAACTTGTCTGCATGATGTTAATTTAATAATTTGATCTATGACTATAAGTATTAGTCTGAATCAAGGAAGCATTTTAACAAGCAATAGTATTTATGGTAGTATCATGGAGGAACCAATTTTGGAAGGACAGCATCAGCATATGTAATAACAAGCTATTATGATCAAGCTCCTCTTGATGAGTATGGTATGCCTTCCAAATAATTGTTCCAATCCCAACACTCATATGTGAATATTCTAAATAGAAGTTCAAATTTTAGGATTGATCAGACAACCAAAATGGGGTCATCTCAAGGAGTTACATGCAGCAGTTAAGCTATGCTCCAGGACTTTACTTTTTGGAGTACCAGCTAATTTATCCTTGGGTCCACTACAAGAAGTAAGACATTGAAGAAACTCCCCAAGTATTTTCTTTATCAATGATGTACTTTTCTCTTCATATTCATTCACGAAATTTGTCTAATACTTATTATTGAACCAGGCCTACATTTTCCATGGAGAATCAGAAGAATGTGCAGCCTTTCTTGTGAACGCCAACGGTAGACAAAATGTTGTGGTGCAATTCCAAAATTCTTCATATGAATTGCCTCCAAAATCAATTAGCATCTTACCTGACTGCAAGACTGTAGCCTTCAACACTGCTAAGGCAAGTTTTCAATCTGTATGACTGGGCATTTACACAGGGTTTACCTACTTCCAATTTTTTAGACTCTAGATTTTCTTCATTCATGTAAAGAAGAAACCAGAGGCAAAGTAAAATATAGTGATACTTCATTCCATGGAGATTAACACAGGATATAAAAGGAAATTGAATTGCACTTCCTCCGCTGAAATAGGTGAGCACACAATTCAATACAAGGTCCATGCTACCAGCCATGCAGTTTGATTCAGCAGAAAGCTGGGGAGCATTCAAAGAAGCTGTTCCTAAATTTGAAGACACCACTGTGAGGTCGGATACATTGTTAGAGCAAATGAACACTACAAAAGATGCATCTGATTATCTTTGGTACACTTTCAGGTAAACTAAAAAGCAAGTATGAATGTTCAAACCAATTCACCCACAATATGAATTAAGTATAATGTAGGATTTACTGCCCCAAAATTTGACAGAGCTTCACTTTATTTCAGCCCCTACCAACAACTCAGATAAACCCTTGTTTCAGCTTCATATACAACAATAACGAATTCCCTCGAAGGATCAAAATTTCGTTTCAAAACATTTGAAACGTTCTGTTTCCTAGGAGCATGAAGCGAATCAGTGATTAAATCCAAATCCCAATGTTTCGAGTGTTTTAGAATGTTTCGAAGTGTTTCCGCATGTTTCAACTTTCAACCAATGTTTCGTAATATTTCAAAATGATTCAAGATCCCTTGAAACAAAATTTTGATCCTTGATTCCCTCTACTAAGAATCTAACAGAACATGAAATGATCTAAGAAATTAATATTCAGGGTTTTAAACGTGCACAATTATCCTCAGCCCCCAAAAGTTCCTCATCTCTTGCCTTTTTTCTATTTATCTTATAATTATACCATCCCCACAAGCAGTTTGGGCCGTTACAATACCAACAGTTATAACTGAGATATACACATTTTGAATGTACAACTGCTATTTTTCAATCTAGTCAATTCCTGAGATTAATATAGGATAACATTGATAGAAGCTAGTAGCTGATTTTGATCACTAAAAGTCAATATCAGATATCTACTTGTTGCAATTTGACTTCACATCTACTAACGGCCATATTTGCACAATTGATAGGGTTCAGCATAATTCCTCAGAAGCTCAGTCTGTGCTCAGTGTGAACTCTCTTGGACATGTTCTACATGCATTTGTTAATGAAGCACTAGTAGGTAAGGATTATGTGTTACATAGTTTTGCTAGTGGTCAAAAATAGGACCCTAAATCCGAAAATATGATTTTTACATGGTCACCACATCGTAGATATTTATGTATCAAGCAGTCAAGTGGGAGAACACAAGTATAAGTTTCAGGTTAGTCACTTGTGCAATTAATGGAAGAATTTGCCCTAGGCTCATTCAACCGCTCCCACCCCCTCCCTCCATTGGTGGGAACAAATGCTAAACATAGAGAGAGATCTTCTACAAGAAATTACAAAAGGGGGAAGAAAGAAGGCTATCTGACATATACAATGGAAAGTCTTTCATAGATTTAATTGTTTTCCCATTAGGTACAACAAACACACACACACACACACACACTTAATGCCGATTTTTCAGTCATATGGAACAAATGATATCATTGAAGGAGTGACCTATAATGAGACTAGAAAGGGAAGAATCAAATACGAGAACTCAAGCTTGATTTTTCCATAGCAAGTTCCTCACTATTCATTATACTACAACTCCTTCCTAACAAAATGTATTCAAGCTGAAAAAACCTCAAAAAACAAATATCTTACAAGGTGAAGTAGTTCCTCAACATATATTCCGTATTCCCCATTTGATGACACATCAGCTGACATGTTAATCATCATCATATCCTCCCCCCCCCCCCCTCCTTTATGATCAATAAAAAGTCATAGCAGGGGCTTCTTTATCTCTTTTTTGATTTATGGAACCATGACATACTTAACTATTTAATTCATTATTTGGTTGTTCTTTAGGATCTTCACATGGAACTCACCAAAATTCAAATTTTACTTTGAAGAGCACTGTTTCTTTAATTAATGGGATGAACAACATCTCATTACTGAGCGCAATGGTTGGACTGCCGGTACCATTCTCTCTCAATTATCGGTCTTTTCTAATGATTTTTAAAAATTGATAGTGGAAGCAACTTTTTGAAAGAGACGCCTATGGCTGATGAACTTTTAGGGGCTTTTGAAAGCAGATAGCAGTGCAGGTGAAACTAATGCTGCTGCTCCTGAAGACCGTAGAATAACTGCAAGAGTAGAAAAGCTTCATTGACATATATATCCACATGGTCATCTGCGAGACATCGTTTTAAGTCTCCATTAATCAATAGTTAAAAATTTTGCCTTTCTTTTTGAACAGATTTTGCCTTCTTTTTTTATTAATGAAGATAGGGCTGAAGTGTGGGGAGTATGTTGGCACATGGCTATTTTTTGTCTCCTTGTCTTTGCTCTTTCCTATTCTATTAGCTTGCTTTTGTTTTCTCCCTCGTTTTTAATTGTTAGAAGACTCCTTGTCCTCTCATGTACTCTTCAATTTTATTATTTCTAATATTCTCTGTTTACTATTAAAAAAACAAACCAACCTTTCACAACCCCCGTCATTGTCTCTTTTTGTAATGAACTCTTTCATCCCCCAAAAAAACTTAAACATGATGCTACTACTACAATTTTCATAAATACTAAAAATTTGTTTTAATTTGAGATGTGAAGGATTCTGGGCCATTTCTTGAGCATAAGGCTGCTGGACCACATCAAGTGAGTATTCAAGACACACAAGGAAGTACAGACTTCACAAATTATTCATGGGGATATCAGGTATTAATGGTCTTACAGTCCCCAATATGCTTATTTCCACTTGTCAAACTTTATGAACTAGATTGTTGTAGTTTTTATGTGACTCTTTGTGGTTGCAAGTTAAGTGACAAATGTAACATTGTCAAGGGAACCCCTAACAATTTTTCATGATAAGACAGGGTTGGCTGATCTTGAGCATATTAGTAGAAAGATCTTTTATCTGATATATGCAAAACTATAAAACCGAATCAATATGAACTTCAATACTGATTCTATGGACTGATTTTATGAAGGTTGGATTGCTAGGGGAGATGCTACAAGTTTACACGAATGAAGGATCGAGTAAAGTTCAGTGGAGCAAGTTCAACTCGTCTTCTCAACCTGTCACATGGTATAAGGTAAAAACCACTCTCCAATGCTTTGTTTATCAGAGCTATGCAATGGGTTACAAAGTTTTTAGGAATACATAATAGCAAATGCCACCTACATCAGGGTTCTCCACTCATTGGCCACATGGCTATGGGGCCAGTTGTGGTTCTATTTTCTAGTAATTTAAAATTGAATTGGGCAGCTGAATGTAGCATTTGATGTTAAATGTAAATAATTGACTGAAAAGACAATCTCCATGTCTATATAGCAGTTTGATGTCCATGTACTTAAATCCTTCCTGGGTATTTGACATAGTATTGTAGCTAAATATTAAGTAACAATCTAAAGCTATCATCATTATCTCCAAAGATAAACAGATAAAGGGATCTATGCACATTCGTACTTCCTGGATGCCCCACTCATGTCATCAATTCTTTTGTATCATTCAATATTTGCTTGTTGACATATATAAATCTTCAGTTTCTGAAACATAATCACCTTAATTGACAAGCATTACTTTCTGACGTCAATTTTTGGTGCAATCATGGTCTGTAGCAACATGATATATGATTCATATAGTTGCTTGTATGTGATTTTGTTGCACTTTTAACCTACACTAACCTTGGTGATTGATACTTAACAGACTGTCTTCAATGCTCCCAACGGTAATGACCCAGTTGCATTGGACCTTGGTTCCATGGGAAAAGGTGAAGTTTGGGTCAATGGCCAAAGTATTGGCCGATACTGGGTGTCATTTCATACGTCTGCAGGCTCTCCTTCGCAGACATGGTAATATAATTATAATGGTGCATTAGTTTTGTTATGTTTATTGCGTTGCCCTGCAAGTATTCTACATCAAAAGTTTGAAACGGAGAAAAAATATATCTGGAGCAGCAATTACATCCATAGTGTGGTTGATGCCTTTTAAATGTTGAGTAATGAAGACTTTAGACATAAAACCCTGTATTTATTAAAAAATAGTGTGTATGCCTGTCAATAGTACTCTGCCTATAATGCCATAGCAAAACTTTTGAACCATTCTCTGCATAATTCAGAAGGAGATAAAAGCTTTTCTTTCCCAAACTTTCTCTGGTTTCTTTTCTCGAATTCTTTACATTTTGACCTAGCATTTTCTAGTTCCTTACCTTTTCATGATTTCAGAATTCCGAAAGTACTTGTTACATATTAATTCATTGACAATGTATTCTAATTTATAACTACTAAAAATTGACCTTTATCTTTCTAGGTATAACGTACCTCGATCCTTCCTCAAACCTACAGGCAACCTATTAGTTTTGTTTGATGAAGAGTATGGCAACCCTCTTGGCATATCAATAGACACTATTTCAATCACAAAAGTGTGTGGGCATGTTTCTGATTCTAATCCACCTCCAGTAATTTCGTGGAAGGGGCAAAAGCCAAGTGAAATGAGGCATGAAGAACACCACGGCAGAAGACCTAAAATTCAACTTCATTGTCCTCCAAGAAGGAACATTTCTAAGATTTTATTTGCAAGCTTTGGAAACCCCTCGGGTGACTGTAAAAATTATGCTGTAGGGAGCTGTCATTCAGCTAATTCTAGAGCTATCGTGGAGCAGGTAAGATCTTCAATTTTCTGCCCCATGATTATTCCATCTCCATCAACCATTCGGTTATCAAGAGAATGGAAGACATGAGAAAATAACTAGAACTCAGAAAACTATTCTTATTATTACATTTTGAGGTCTATTCAAAGAAGGTACAGGAAAAAAAGAAGGAAACTATGCAGTGATAAAACTAATTGCTGGAATTGTCGGTCAAAAATCCAAAATTTCAGAGCAACCAAAGAAAACATTGATGCTGAAGGATTGGTTTGGGTATTTAACAGGGTATCTCTTACACATATATAACCAACTCGAAAAGAAATCAATCTATTACACAACAGTGTTCTTTCCTCAAAACAAATTGCCCTAGTAGAGTGTGGACCTTTTTATTCATTGGTACTCTGGAAAGTATTTTTAATATATAAAATACCCACAAAATTTAATCAAACCAGGTGGTTCAAAATCAGTTTATACTACTGATTTTTTTCGCTCTAATAAGCATATAATATTAGCCCCCAAATGGTGGAACGTACACATCATAGATATGGCACATTTTTTTCTCAATCAGTTTTATATGCACATTGATATAGCTCAGTGATACAGGTTTATTGTGTTGTTGTTGTTGTGGTAACATCTATAAGATTAAAGTAACACATTCTTATTGTTTTGTAATTTGACAAACATATTCTTAACAAATTATGCTATGCCAGGCTTGTCTAGGGAAGAGGAAATGCTCCATTCCTAATTCACATCAAAATTTTGGCGGTGACCCATGCCCAGGACTTGCTAAAGCTCTATTGGTCGATGCACAATGTGAATGACAATGAACGATTCTATACCATTTTCCTGAAGAGGGTTTTGGTGGATGATTCAACCTACTGTTGGAAAGGCTAGCAGCATTAGTTTAGGAAAAAAAATACATACTTAATTCATACGAAATAGATGAGAGTTGTTATCACCATCGATCCTTCATTATGTGTAGATGGTATGAAAGTCTATAACTCGCAAGTGGTGATTTTGGTTAATAACAGATGATAATATTTTGATTGATAAATGATCTTCGTTAGAAAAGATTGCTTGTAACTAGTCGTGCATTTTTCAGTAGGATTTTTTCCTTTTTGTCATGCACTCTTGTTTTGTATTGATTTATCTTCAACAACCAGAATAACAAGCAACAAGTCAATCCCAGCATGCCTTCCACCAAAGCCATAAGTCAAACCTCAGCATGCCTACTGCCAAACAAGGTGGGTTACAGTCACAGTGCATTGTTTTGATCACCTAAGAAATGAAAACATTTCGACGTGTTTCGCAAACGTTTTGACCCATTTCGGAAATAGAATGAAAAAAATAAAAAAATTAATCATTATTTTTTCAAAAAATTGATCAAAATATACTAAAGTGTCTTGAAATAATTTGAAACATTTTGAAACAATTGTACAAGTACATTGAAGTATTACAAAACACCTCGAAATATTATGAAACACCTTGAAGTATTAGAATTTCAATTTCATCACTGATTCATTTCGGTCTCCTTAGAAATAAAAACGTTTCAGATGTTTCAAAACAAAATTTTGATCCTCACATTTAAGATTATAGAATTGGTATTAGGGTTTAAGACAAAAGAGAAAAGACAATAAGGAAAGAGACGAAGAAAGGTTGTGTAACACTCCCTCTCAAGTTATTACCCTAAACTACTAATAATCTGAAATACAAACTCTAACACTCCCTCTCGAGTTAGAACATAGAGAGTAAATATGCCCATCTTGAAACAAAAATTAATGAAGATAGATCGAGCCAATAGTTTGGTAAGAACATCACTCAGCTAATCACTAGACTTAATGTACGGTGTGATAATCTCCTTACGCATCAAAAGATCTCAAATAAAATATCAATCAACTTCAATGTTTTTAGTACTCCCATAAAATATCAGATTGTTGGCAATAAAAATAGCTCCTTGGTTGTCACAATACATCTCTATGAGAGATGACGCATTGATACTCATATCACGAAGTAATGAGCAAACCCACATCATCTCACACACAGTATGAGCCATGACCCGATATTCAGCCTATGCACTCCAACGAACAACCACATTCTGTTTCTTGTTACACTAAGTAACAAGATTACCACCAATAAATATACAATAACCTGAAGTAAATCATTTATCAGTACGAGTACTTGCCAAGTCAACATCAGAAAATTCAATAACAATCATGGAAGATGAAAAACGATATAATAATCCTTTATCCGGTGCTTTTTCCATATACTGAAAAATAAGAAAAATAACCTCCCAATGAGACTTACAAGAAGCATGCATGAACTGACTAACCACACCAACAACATAAGTAATATCAGGATATGTAGCAAGTGAATCAAGGTGAATCAACTTACCAACCAACCTTCTATAATGCCTTACATCACCAAATACTTCACTATTATTAACATCCAACTTGACCGTGGAGTCCATAAGTGTATCAATTGGACGTGCACTGAGTACCAATTTTCAACAATAAATCTAATACATACTTCTGTTAGCACAAATTGATACTTTTCTTTGACCGAGCAACTTCAATTCCAAAAAAATACTGAAAAAGACCTAGGTTTTGGTATAAAACTACTTCGCCAAAAAAAAATCTTAAAGTTGACAATATTATTTGAGTCATCACTGGTAATGATAATGTCATCAACATACACAATAAGAATAATAACTGTGAAAGAATGATGAATAAAAACTGAATGGTCTGAAATAGAACGTTGAAAATTATATTGAAGAACAACAATACTGAACTTATCACACCAAGCACGTGCTGATTGCTTCAGACCATATAGTACTTTCTTTAGACGATACACTAACAGTTTCTTATCATATACAACATAACTTAGAGGTTGTACCATATATACTTACAATTGTTGGTCTCCATGTAAAAAGACATTTTGGATGTCCAGTTGATATAGAGGCCAATCACAACTCGCGGCAACCAAAATAAGAACTCTAACAGAATCAAGATGAGTATTAGGAGAGAAAGTCTCACAATAATCCACACTATATGTCTAGTGTAACCTTTGGCAATCAGATGGGCCTTCAAACGCTCAACTGAACCATCAAGATGATACTTCACTGTGTAGACCCAATGATAACTAACAAGTTGTTTACCAAAAAGAAGAAAAGTAAAGTCCAATGTATGATTCTCATTAAGGGCTTTCATTTCCTCATCCATAGCCAATTTCCAATCAGGAAATATCAATACTTGTTGCAAAAAATTAGGAACAAATATTGAAGATAGAGTCAATGTAAAACAATGGAAGGATGGTGAAAGCCAACACAGAAAAACAAAATTGAAATTGGGATGCTTTGTACATTTACGGGTACCTTTCTTCAATGCAATAGACAAATCAAAAAATAATCAGGTGATGGCTATGGAGCTAGAGCACCTATCTTTGGAATGATGATAAATCGGAGGAAGACTTAGGGAGGAAGAAGAGACACAATCCAGCACAATAGGAAACAAGGGCTCCCCTTGACTGGAAAAGACTAAATCCGAAAAAAGTGTACCACCTAACATAGAAAAGAAAGAAGATGACTCAAAAAAGAGTGATATTAACACTAACATAGTATCGACGAGAAAACATGGTCATAACAACGATAATTTTTTTGAGTACGAGAATATCCCAAAAAGATACTTAACCAAACGAGGTGAAAGTTTAAAGGAGATAAACAAATGCAACGCAATCATGGGCACTAGAAGTGAGACAAAATGGTGGTTTACCAGGAGAAAGTAATGAGAAAGGAGATTTGTTGTTCAAAATAGGAGAATATTAATAAGATAAATTGAAGTAAGAACATCATCGGCCTAATATGGTTTTGACACATGTATATTAAATATCAAGGTGTATGTAACATATAATAAATGATGATGCTTACGTTCGACAACACCATTTTTGTTGCAAGGTATGAGCACAAGTGATTTGATGGATAATGGTACGATCAACACAAGATTTTCATAAATGATTGAGTATATTCAAGGGCATTGTTAGATCGAAATACTTTAATACGAACATCAAACTAAGTTAGAATTTCATTATAAAAAGTGGTAAAGACCTTGGGTAACTCAGATCAGTTTTTTATAAGAAATAACCAAATCATACGAGAGAAATCATCAACAAAGATCACAAAATATTAAAAACCAGAATTACTTTTAACTCTTGCGAGGCACCAAATATTTGTATGAACATGAAAACAACTAGATTGACAACTTGAAGAGCTAGGAAGAAAAGAATTACAGTGATGCTTACCTAGGTGACAAGCTTCGCATTCTAACATAGAAGAGGAACTCAAACCAGGGGTGACTTGAGGCAATTTCTGCAAAGAATGATGAACTAGTCGAAAATGCAACTGGAAAGAAGACATAATTGCACTTAAGGTAGGAAAGGAACATTCGCAATCCAAGTAATAAAGGCCATTGTGTTTATGCCTCAAACCAATCACCTTTTTCGTCTTGAGATCCTGAAAAACATAAGAAGATGGAAAGGAGGTTACTGAACACTATAAGGACTAACTGACTCAAAGAAAACAAATTAAAGAAAAAATTAGGAACAAATATGCCATCAGCCAATGACAAGGATCGAGTGAAACTGAGATCACCAGTCCTATGTACTGGTCGAAAAAAACCATCATTGGCTAACACAATATGTGCATTTGACGTACGAAAGTTAGAGAATGGGGACGACATACTAGACATATGAACACTAGCTCCTGAATCAATGGTCTAAAAAGATGAAGAAGGCTGAGTAACCATGCATGTTAAGGTACCTCCATTAGCAACACTGACAATAGAAGCAGACAAACTTGAAAGTGAAGACAGCTTGTGAATGAGTTGTTTAAGCTAAGAAAGAAAGACCATCATCAGAGCCAAAACCAGAAGCAACTAGACCACCAGTAGTAGTTTGATGTACTAGTGAACCCACATTATCAACATAGGCTTGAGTAGCCAGCCAGTACCTTGACCAAATTGACTACCACGTCTACCACAGCCAGTACCTTGACTACCAAGACTAGCACTATAAGGTGGATCACACCCACCACCACGACCACCATCACAATCACCATTCAAGTTGTCCATTACAAAGCCCACAGTCAACTATCAAGGAATCTGCCCTAACAGTCCAAATGCACCATAATATGCAAACCACAACAAAACCACACAACCGGACCACAAAAACACCACAAAACACATCAATCTAGAGGCCAAGAAGTACACAAGCCAGACCACAACAACATCGAATGAATAGATCTAGCGTAGATGTGTAGCAAACTGGAGTAGACCAACACACCCGAGCCAAAGGGAGATGCCAATTGCATAAAGTTGGAGCCAATCGAGTACAATCGAGGCTAAACAGCAGCCAAATAGTGCAGTTGGCACTAAATGGCTCAAAAACACCTCTAAACGAGCCAATCAGGGTTGGGCAACTTCGGAGGCTCCCCCTTAGTCCAAATCAACACCCATAATACCAGATCCAATTATCAGCCGCTGTAAGTTTTGATTTACGCTTGTCAATTCAATTGTGTAAATGTTATTTCAAAAGTCTCACAACTCATCAGGTCCAAGGTAACAAAGGCCACCATCAAGATGGCAAAGGTTGCTGCCCTTTCACCTGTACAGCAAAAAAAGTCCTAGAACAACAGATGTAGAAATTATCCCCTATTTTTCCAAAAATTATTCAAAAATAAGAAACTCTTATGTAGATGGCTTCAAAAAAATCACCATAATTACGAGGGCAACGAGTTGACCATAAAGGAATTTTTCCGTCATCTGAAGTGTTTACGTCAACATTTCGGCAATGACATCAACGACAAACAGTTGCGACAATTTTTTTTCCTTTTTTGTGTTGTTCTAACGGGCTTTGCTGAATAATCTTGCTATGATACCAAGTTAAGATTATAGAAACGATATTAGGGTTTTGGAGAAAAGAGAAAAGAAAACAAGGAAAGAGACAAAGAAAGAAAATATCCTGTTGTGTAGGCAATGTTGTACTACAGTCTCTTATTTATAATAAACTGACATTATGAGCAATTACATTATTAATCTAAATTACTAATAATCTGAAATAAGAACCCTAACAGTCGAAACTCAAAAAATCATAACAATACCACAAAAAACTCTAATCTCTCACGAATCTAGGCTCCATTTGGACGAAATTTAACCTAAAAGTCAGAGGATGGCCAATCATTACTACTTGTCGATAAGCCCTCATATAAAAATAGAGAAAAGAACATCAAAAACAGGTATGGACTTCATGACAGATAGGTATAACAGAAAAATAAAGCGAGAATGCACTTCAAAAGATAATAATCATATATAAGAGCTCAAACATATCAACAGAATTAAACCATTCAAAGTTCACATCTATTTCTGGGTTAAAGATGTCTAAAATTTAACTAACAATTAAAGGGCTAAAGGCCTCACTTACAATATTTAGCTCATCTTAAGCCACATGCAATGTGATTGAGTAATTTGCTGCAATGGAAGGAAAGTGTAACCAAAGTTGTGCATGCTCACGCAGACCCATCCTTGTTGCTTTTTGCATTACCTGCAATAGAACCAAAAAATTGTTATCCCGGCATACTTTCAAGAACTTACACACACTAAAAGGTTTTATCCACTTGCGGATCCTGAGATAAAAGGAGCTGAGGAAAGAAATATCGTAATTCAGAATTTTGGTATGCATCTTATCATCCCTCATGACATAACTTTACATCTTACATCTTGAAGCAAGTGGGGCTGAGAATAGTTAACAACTATCATGTATCATCAAACCAGTTTCCTCCGAAGAGGAAAATTGATTTAATTTTTTTTTTTTGGATACTAACATAGATTACCAGAAAAGAAAACAAATGTTTATTCTTTCAATATAGGTCCAAAGAGAAAGGTACTTAACATTCAACACAGGGCCGGCCCAACAAGGGAGGCAAAAAAGCATGGGCTTTAGGCCCCAGTTACAAAAGAGGCCTCATATTTTATATGTTTATGGTATAGTTGAGGCCCAAACTCAAAATCCATAAGATTCTAAGTCAATACCAAAAGAACCTTATAAAGCTTTAAGCCTAATAAGAAAATTCTATATTCAATGGTGTAGATCCATCCATAAATCAACCCACAAAATCCAAAATCCATATCTCTCCCCCAGTTCTAGTGATTCACAAAATCCATCTCTTCAAACCTACCTAAAAATAGTCTACTCAATTTTGCTGTAAGAGTGATAATTTAACTTTAATCAAGAGAATCAAAATATTAAATTTTAATTTTTTAAAGTAACATTGAATTAAATTTTATTGTTTCATATTTTCAGGGCTTTTGTGTAAATTCAAGCTTTTTATTATTATTTTAGATCCTTTTTGATCACATGTATTTATTTTGATTATATATTATAGACAACCATACGGATATAAATACTTAAAAATTAGAAAAATGAAAAAAACTAATTGTACCTCAAAAAAAATCTTTTGATAAATTTGTTACTAGCATCAAACAAAAAGATATGTTAGTAATTGATAGATATGATAACAAAATTTTAGAATACAATAATTTGATTAAGAATGTCTATTTGAACAAGCGAGTAATTTTTTTTAAAAAAAAATTACTTAATATTAAAAAAATCAACAAGCCCTATTCAAAGTGATTTGCCACTCTAGGCCACAATATGTGTCGGACCGCCCCTGATTCAACATGCCCTTTTCCTGTACATCATCACGCACAATTAATACTTCAGATTAATCAAACAGGCAGAACATGTGAGTGATAATAGCAGATAAAAATACAGTCACAGACCTTCCGCTAAGCAAAAAAAAAGGAAAAGTATAACTGCAATTACAGAAGATTGTTATACAGAGAGCTAGCAGTGGATAAAGGGTGGAAGGGACTAGAGATGCAATAGACATGCCATGTACTTTAAATATCAACCTCCAGACTACTGATTGGCTCACAGGATGGCCGAACAACCAGCTTTCAGTAATCTTATCACTCCTATCTGTGAGGAATATAACTTCCAACCCCTTCTAATCTCCTGAACTGTATCCATCTATGGGTCTTCCTCTTCAGCAAATCATGTATACACAATTGTGCGCTCTAATAAGTGGTACGCCAGACTTAAGAATCCAAATTAAAATGCTTCATTTTTTACCTGTTTCTTCATTTTCTGATGGAGTAGCCTTTTTTGCATCAGCAGTCGAAAAATTCAATGGTAGTATTGCCTTTTGTGAAGGTAGTTCAGCAATGAAAAGCAGAGTTTGAGCCCAACCAGCATACTTCCCATATTTGCTCAGAAAAGCATCAGCTACACGATTGCAAACTTTAGGTGTCAGACGGGTGCCTGCCAACTCAGGGATGAGGTATCTTGTCGCAATCTGTCTCAACTCCAGCAACAAAAGAAATTTCACATCAGCCCTTTACAGATCCATGCACACCAGAAGGTCCACACGATGCAATATAATATATACTAACAAGAATTCTACATAACCAAATACATAATCTGAGCAGTCACCTTCCTTTCAAATTCTTAGAAAATAGCCACATTTTTTTTGATAAGTTCAAATACACCAAACAAAAGACTCCCCCAAGTGATGAGGTAGACTATGCTTTGGGGCCATTAGGAATTATAAACCAAAATAACATAGTCTATTAAAAAAGAGTGGCATACCAAAACACTTACTATATCAGCTTTTATCCTACTTTTTTGGTCAGATTTCAGAATCTTGGAGTAGCCATCTCATGAAAAAACCTACTTCAGAGAAAATCACTTCAAAATAAAGTGAATGTAGCAGTGGCTTGATAGAAATCCAGAGTCTTCACTAGATCTAGAGCTTGTAATAAAAGGTCTGTCTAATGGTTAACAGTCACGGTTCGTAAACAACAATTGCACAGGTTGATGCTTGCCAAAACCCACCCTAAATAGGTTGCTTTAAAATGGGGAAATCCAATTGATTCTTGGCAGGCATTTCCTCCACCAACCCTCCCCCCTTCAACAACAAAAAACCCGCAAGGGAAAAGGGAAAGAAGAAAACCAACAACCAGAATGAGAAAATGCAACCCAATAGATACATTATTTTCCCAGGATGAAGGCTCCAATCTTCAAGGTTGACATCATTCTTAGTTTTCCACTAGGCAATGACAAATACTGGCTCTGCAGGTGCAATCCTACCTAAACACAATCAGATTGGGGTTGAGTTGAGATATTGACCGACCTGATACCACCACATTGCATAAACAAATTTTACACAACATTATGCTTTCTGCTGCAGTAACATCCCGCCCCACCCTTCGAGATATTATCCACTTTGGGTGCCCATACACCCTCGGTTTTGTTCCTCTAGGGATTTCCCCCTAAAAAAGGCCCCTTGACAGTCAAGACTGGAAATCACATAAATAGTCCACAAACTTTTCCTCTCCAACCGATGTGGAATGACGCCCATGGTACCTGTAGCACCTCACCTCACCGCACCACACTTAAGTTTGACTATTGGACATCTTCTTCGCTACTACAGCTGCATTGCTAGTTAAAGCTCAAACATATAGGAACAACCAAAATTCATCCAATGCAATTTCTTGTATCAACAACTAATAAAAAGAGACATTGACTTTCAAATCCCAAAATCCAACAAATTTCCATTCATGTCAGCGTCCCAGTTGACAACCAACATGGTTCAAAGTATCAGCCGATACTGATACGAGTCAGCTGAGTTGTATCTGACTTGACACCTTTTGAGATGATACCGTTTCACGATACGTATAAATCCCGAATTTCGCACAACTCGACCGAGTTAATCCTGAGTTGCTAAGTTATCGTCACCGAATCGACTGATATGATTTTGGGATGCCACGGTATATTCTGAATATCTCGTCATGTTTAACATTTTTTTTAAGTCGTATCGCCTAATACTGCGCTATGACCGATGTGTCTCAGAGCTCTCTGAGTCGATGACCGATACAACAACCTTGAACCATGCAACCAAAAAGGCCTTATCTACAAGATACTTGATTGTGACACTTTTACTACCTTTTAACTTGTCTTTAGCTGCAGGGTATTGATATCTCATATCTCACTCAGCTGAGCAAAGTGGAAGTCATCCTGACAATCCAAGTAGGTGTACATTTCAACAAAAAAAAAGATGTGATTATGTTTGGGAAGCTTGACTTGGGTCATGCTATGGACTAAATCATCTACCACAAGGAGATTGTGATGATAAAGAAAACTATCCAATTTGTGAACCGATGGGAAGCTCATTAAGACCAACTAACTTTTGAAGAAAACTATTTCTGTACATCTTAACAGCAGCGAGAGAACTTTAGAAGCCACAACAGCAGTAATAGTCTTACCAAACACATTTTCAGCAACATAGACAAAATATAAACACAGGTTTCCAAATATCACAACTATAGCAACAGGATTCTGGATCAACAAAGTGGATGGTTGTACATCAGATCATATGCGCTAATGACAGCTCATTTACAGACCAAACTATGGACCATCACTCAGCCACGAAGAAGTTTCTATTTGACAACTAGAAATAAAACCCTTGAAAGCTCACCTGCCAAACATGAGTATCAACAGGAATAGCATGGTGTTGATCTAAAGAGAAAAGAGCAACGCATGCTGCCACCTTGGGACCAACACCAGGTAGAGTGGAGAGACCATCAATTGCCTTTTGAAGATCTAACTCGCGAAGAGAAGCAAGCCACTCCACACCTCCCATAGGTTTTGATTGCAATGCCCGAACAGTGCCAATAATATATTTTGCCCTGCACATTTTGTCAAGACAAAAGAAATACTGTTACTCTCTATTGGATGCAGACCATTGGCAGAGAGTTCCATAAACCAAAGGAGACCCCTACTCTACATTCATGAGTTGCATAAAATAAAAAGCTCTTTTTGATAATTAAAGATTTCATGTGGAATAGAACATGACACCACAAACCAATGTTATCAAAACTGGTTCAGTCATCGAACCAGCGGAGGGACCAGGTTAATGGTTTATTGGTTCAACTATTGGATCAACTGGTCGGACCGGTCACATAATAAAAAAAATAAAAAGTAAAAATATTATAAAATACATGATAAATTGTACCAATAGTCCCTAAGATTTATCACCTATTAAATTTTGGTCCTTAAAATTTGAATTTTATCAATTTAATCACAAAGTATAAACATTAAGTGTGCCAATGTGGGGACATTGAACATCACGTGTCTGCCTCGTTAAACATCAAGTCCTCTACCCTTTTTTTTTTTTTGACCTTTTTGCTTCTCTTTCTATCTTTGTAATTCACCAAACCCAACTCCCTCAAAACCCACACCCCATCTTCAGGGGGGATCCCTTCAAATTTCACCCCTAATTCCTTGGTCTTGGTGGTTTGGTTGTGAATTTCCAACCTCTAGGCCAAGACTTCAAGGCTGGTGAAGCAAAGAAATTAGGGCAAATTTTAGAATAAGTTTCTGGGGTAAATTTCATATCGAACTAAAGCTTCTCGTCGCTTGAGTGAGAGACATCGAGCTTCCTTGGGCTTCTGTTCCTCACCTGAGAGTTGAGTGGTGGCTTGAGCGATGAAGTGCAAAAATGGGGTAAGAAATCTGCGAGACTATGATTGATTTAGGGCAAAATGGCCCAAAAAAAGGAATTTTTTTTATATATTAAATTTGAAAAATCATCTAATTCACGATTTTGGTCCAAAACCGGCCAGTTCAGTGGTTTTCTTCCTTATGTGGTCTAGCCACAAAACCAAACTGTTTTAGGTACCAGTTCACGGGTCAACCGGTTTGACCGGCTTGATCCGATTCTAATAACACTGCCACAAACCAAAAGAAACGTAAGCTGCAACAATGAATGCATGTGTAATGAGTCTAATGACTTTATCACGTTTTCAAAACACCAAGTTAAATTATATATCAATCTTTTTCAGATAATATGCCTGCTCTAGAAATTAATAGATTCATTTTCTTTTGGTAGTGGTTAACTTAGAAATTCACGAGGAACTTCGATAAGATGTTTAATAAAGACATAAATATCATATGAACAAAACAAGATACTTGCACATACATATATGTCATAGCCATTAGCAAAAATTGAAATAAACCTTCCCTTACATGCAGTAGCCACCTTTTTGCTTGTTTTTCGGATCTTGTACTGCTTGTAAGAGGATTGACAAGACCATTTCAATCATAATTTAGAAGGTTTGATACAAAGACACATTTGAGTCAACTCTAGACTTCATGCAAAATATGTTACTTCTAAAAAAATATTCAAGAAGGATTGAAGCATTGGAGTTGGGTGTTGGGATCTCTTAACCGGTGATTGTAACACGTAGATAATATATTTCTTTTCTTAGAAGAGGAACATATTGAGATTGCATTCGGTTGTGTATGCCTGGGTGGATCGAGGCTGCATGGGCCCAAGATTCTCACAATATTTTCAGGATATCTAATAAAGGAATCATACGGTGAGGACATACCTTGGTTATCCCAGAAAGAGTATATAGATTGAGGAACAAATTTTCAATTTTAATATTATAGGGGGCTTATTTGAAGATATTGCATTCGGTGGCGTATACCTAGGGGATTAGGGTCCATAGCTATGAAGGACGGACACTTTCGAGAACATGATGTATCCGTGTCGGACATCGACACTCTTTGGACACTCTCGGACACATGTTCGATACTCTTTTATCCATGTCCATAATTAAATGATAAATTTTAATTTCGGGCATGTGTCAGACAATTCTTTAGTAACATGTCCGATATTTCTTTAGAATGTGTCTACTACTAAACAATAGACATTTCTTGAAATATGATTAACAATGTTTAAAAATTTGAGAACATATAATTACTAATGCTAGACATATTCAAGTTGTACTTCAAATATAATAATAAAAAAAATGCATAAAAATTTCAAAAAAAAAGAATTGAGAAAATGAGAGCAATTATTTAAATTATATATTAGGTACACATTATTTACAAAAAAAATTGATGATTATTGACTATAATGAAAATGTTTTAGTCTAAAGATTCACACAGATGACTAGGCATTAGGTTTTCTTATCATAAAATACTGATTTTTTTTATGAATTGTATATCATTACCACTATATTTGCAATAAATTATATAATATTATATATAAAATATAATTTTTTTGTAACGTGTCCCCAATGTGTCCGTATCTTACTTTTTTGAGAAATGTCGTGCCGACGTGTCTGTGTCGTGTCGTGTCGTGTCGTATTGGTGTCCCGTGTCCGTGTCCGTGCTTCTTAGGTCCATAGAGGTTCTCACTATATTTTTAGGACATCATTAAAGGAATCATACGGTGAGGGTAGACCTCAATTATCCCAGATAGTGTATTCAAAATTATTCTTTAGATTTTCAAAATGAGTTGCTCCGTCCCTTCAAAAGCATTCAAGTCACTCGCAAAAAATAAAAAAAAACAAAAAACAAAAAAACAAAAAAAAAAAAAGACAAAAGCATGGTCTGTAACCCAGCAATCACATAAAAAGATAACTAACTCCTTAACCACCACAAAAATAGGAAAGAAGGAAACCCTACCCTTCAAAGATATAATGAATGAATTTGGGTCAGGGATACAAACATTTCACAAATTTACCAAAGGATAATACGTCATTCCTATCCAAATCTACCAAGTCACTCTAGGTTCATCTGGTCCAATACCAGGTAGGCCTAAATGTATGTGAGTGCATGTTTTATCCTAACTGACTCCTGCAAAGCCATTGTGTAAGATCATCAAGCCACTATAGGAAAGTCAATTGCTCGGTTAATATCCCCAAGGAATAAGCTACAAAACTTAGTTTGTGCCAACCTTAGGTTGGTGCCATCTTTAAATTAATATTGCACGGGATGTAAAATAAAACATATCAACTTGAATATATAGCCCAGTGCTATACTCATTGTCATCATTAAGTCATATCAACATAAGTTTATGATATCCTGAGAACCTTAGTAAATCAAGAATAAAGCATACTTCACATAGTCAGAAGTCTATGAAGCACGGACACTCACAAGAAGGTAACGTATACATGTCAGACACCAACCCTCTTCGGATACATGTCTGATATTCTTTTATCAGTGTCTATAATTAAATGATAAAATTTTAATTTCAAACACGTGTCCAACACTTCTTTGATGATGTGTCTGATACTTCTTTGAACCATGCCTACTACTAAACAATAAATATGTGTTAACAAGTGATTAACAAAGTTTAAAATTTTGGCAATAAGTATCTTATATTATGACAGAACATATAATTATCAAGACTAGACATGTTAAAGTCGTACTCAAAATATAATAATAAAAACAAAAGATGCCTAAAAATGTTAAAAAGAAAAATTGGAAAAACAATAAAATTCATTTCAATTATATATGATGGGTACACGTTGGCTAAAAATAATTGATGATTATTGACTATTATAGTATTTTAGTTTACAAATTCAAACTAGATAGACTAAAAATATAACAATTACTTATCATAATAAAGTACTCATTTCTCATGAATAATATACCATTATCATTAAATTTTTGTGATAAATTATATAATTATATATAAAACATAATTATTTATAGCGTATCCCCAACATGTCCATGTCCTACTTTTTTTAAAAATGTCGTGTATTCGTGTCCGTGTCTCTATCCCTTTCCGTTTCCGTTTCCGTGCTTGTGCTTGTTAGGTCAGACCTGCTGCAGTAGAGTAATAATTCTTTGCACGATGTAACATGAAAAAAAAATGTTGTCAAGGCAATCTTTTAAGTAGCTAGTTTCGTATGGTTCATAGTTAGCCCAATAACTTAGGAGATCTTAGCCCACCTTTGCTGCTACACTAACTAATTTTAGTCATAGTGCTAAATCATCTTGATAAGGGTTTTGAAGGTACAAAATGGACTGCCGCTTGAGAATATACTATGCTGGAATAATAGTTTGTTATCAAGAAATGTGAAGAGTAATCCAAAAACCACTCAACAGCCACACTATATCTGGCTAAATTCATATTTTGATGCCAACTTTCATGTTGTTGTTGAATGACAACTTATACATTTGGGTGTCTATCTAAGTACAATTTTAGGTGGCATTCATTTTCAGCCATATGAACCAGATTTGACAGTAAATTAAAACAGGAAGATTGCCCAACATAATAAATTAGGCTATTAACAATTAGCATAGAAACTCCAACCTGTAACCAAAACCTGCCTCTCTAAGCTCTGCCTCAGATACCTGCGACAACCTGTCTAAGGACGGGAATTCATGGAATGCAAAACCTTCAACAGTCCCCAAATAATTTCCCAATGATGACACGAAATCAACCATTCCAGTAATTCTTCGAATATTATTATTGGATGAACAAATAAATTGAATGAGGCACTCAAGTGGGTCTTGCCTAAGCACCCGAGAACCGCCCAAATGCCGTGCCAATTCAGCGAATCTAGAATCAGCAGCTGAAAATACCTCCCACATATCATTCAAAGAAATACCCACATTCAGAAAATCCAATAAAGCCAACCTAGCACTAGCCTCAGAGGTGGCGTAATGAAAGTAATAACCCACATCGCCATTATCAAGCTGTTTGAGGGACACCAAATTGGACCCAACAGCACCAGTGTACTGAAGAGGACCTGTTTGTTTCCACCTGAAGGTTTGGCCAGTGGGGAATGTGAGGGGCAAGTAGAGCTCTGATTTGCCAAGATTGAGGGGTACCCATTTGAGTTCTTGTGAGATTGGGATTGTGGGTGGTGGTGTATTGGGGAGTTTAAGATTGGTGAATAGGTCTCTCTTGGGTTTCACTTTCCTGAAGGAGTGTGAGTTGGGTTTGAGATTGATAGTCTTGGAATGGAGGGTTTTGTGGATGATTTGTGGGGTGGGAGGGGTTGAAGGAGTGGGCGGAATGGCTTTGGTAGGTGGTGGTGGCGTGGGTCTTTGTCTCTTCATGATAACTAGTGTTCTTCGTGACTGCATCGATCGGTTTTTTAGGGTTTCGAATTTCGGCTCTTGCAGTCACAGAGAGCGACGGAAGGAAAACAGATCAGAAAAATAGATCAAAGATCCGTTTCCATGTCACGTTCAGGGTGCTTGGGCAGATTAAATGGGGCGATGAGGATCGGATGTGCCATGTTTGACTCCCACTCTCTTGGAATGTCTGACATATTAGGCATGTTTGCAACTAGTTTAGGCACGGAGTTTTTAAGAATTTGCAAATAAAATAAGTTGGATTCGTTTATAATTTTTTGAAGCTAACAAAATTTATTTATGTTGATTTTATGATTTTTTTTTATTTTTTAGAATTTTATCACAAATTTCACATAATTTTTTTAATTTATTATATTTATAAAATATTATTAGTGACGTACAAAAAAATTAAAATTTATATTTTGAAAACTATTATTTATAATCTATACATATATGTAATTATTTATTTAATGTTACAATTAAATAGTCTTGAATTCTTAAATTTATAAAAACACAATAATTATTAAAATTGATTCAAAAATTATTTTAATAAAATAGTACAAAATTTATCCCCATTTTTTTTTTCTCGAAAATATGATTTCTATACACAACTCAACACTCTCTAATATCCTCCAATACCAATTAATTCCACTAATTTATTCATATCTCTGCTTTATTTTTTCTTAGTTTGACAACTATGTGATTACATGCTATTCAACTCTTTTTATAAGATGAATATTTAATATAATAAAAAAAATTATTATTTAGACCTAATTTAAAAATATATTTTAAAAACTTAATTTATTATAGTCGTTGGATTAGTTATAATATATGATGTTTGAGCAAACTCCTCTCATCTGTCAACTGCACCGGATTTACGTCTCATTAACTTTTATCTTCAAACCCCTCCAAGCTCCGTGTGCAAAATAAAGCTCTTATGGGTGGGTTGGCACAATAAATGGGTTAAATTAAGTTTTGATGCGAATAATACGATAAGCGAATGTTATAGATAGAAAAAAAAAGTATTTAATAAGTATTGTAGATAAAAAATAAAAATTTTATAATTTTTTATAAGAGTTGTTAAGAAATTAAATAATATTTTATTAACACAAACTCGACACTTACTGAAAGTGACTTAACACAAAAATAATAATTGACACAATAATGTCGTATATTACCCCCACACTAGTTCGTTTGTTACTCTACTCCAGAGAGAAGTTAACGGTCAACCATCTCACAATTCTATCACAAACAAAATACATAAGTAATCCTTAACTAAATCTATAAGACTTAGACACCATATTAATACCCGGGGCCGGCTCCACCCTTAGGCAAGGGAGGCGGGCCTCCACTAGTTAGGGTCTTATTCCTATATGTCTTTTAAAATAATATGACTAAATTTTTAAAAAAATATATAAAACATTTAGGAAATGATCAAAAACTTAACAAATATTTTTTTTTAAATCATAAAATATACGTACATTCAAAAAAGGGGAAGAAAATATCGCCCCATATTTTTGTACAAAAAATTACAAGCCTCTACTCTTTCATTTTATTTAAGTTCTCAATAAAATCTGACCTATTTATTCAGTTTTATTTTCTTGAATTATAATTTTTGTGATAATTTTTATCTTAATCTAATCATTTCCATAGTTTGTTTGTTTTGCAAGTTACTTTCGACCTTACAAGACATAAATTTAAATATTTAAAACTAACAATAAAAATAACCAAATTATTCATCTAAAAATAATTTAGAGTTCCCATCTAAAATTTTTGCCCAAGACCTCAAGTATTCTTGAGCCAGTCCTGGTAATACCAGATGATTGCTGTCCCAATTGCTCACAAGTTATTGTGATATAGGGATTAAAACTCTAAAAACCCAAATTCTTGAAAAACCATCACTTTGAAGAATTTCACCAAAATCATCAACCATCGACTGTAAAAAATATTCTCTGATCATCTAAACTATACATAGGAAATTTCCCAAGACTCCCATCCTTAATGTAGTCCAGACAAAGTGAATCTTCATAGTAAGGCAAACACATGACTTGCAGGCGTGGGGGTAGGGGTTATCAAGTTGCATATATGTTGATTTATTATTGGTTGGCGGTACTACATGATAATGATAATGTGGTATCACCGATACATTCAAGACACAAAAATGTGTTCATCGGAATACTAGTATTCCCCCTTGATGGTAGTTGTGTGGGGATAAATCCACAGTCATTACCTCGTACGAACAGAAAACGTGGCGGAGAAACCTTGCAGACGGGATAGAAATAGGTGAAAATTGGGAAAATTAGAAATTTTGGAGCGCCGTCTTAAAAAGAAATGAAAATTTACTGGGTAACAGTTGATACATGGTGCATCACATTGTAGCCAAGTGAGATCATTGCCAGTGTCACCGGTCATTCGCGTCACTCCACGGGTGGTTTGGAGGTTTTTGGACAAATTCACAAGAAGGGCTTTTACACAGGACATTAGTTTCCATGCTGGGTTGGGGGGGGGGGGGGGAAGGGGCTTGTATGGCTTGTGAGGAGCCTGTACACAATCATAGATCAAGGCACTTCAAGAAAACATCTTTTGAACGACAAAAACATTCAACAAAAGTTTAATTTTCATCACAAAAATCACTCCTCACCAAAAACATTTAGAGCCGAGATAAGTTTATAGTGAAGAAACTATAATTTTGTCGCTAATAGTCACTTTTGTGTTACAATAAGATTTGGTTACAATAGATTGACATTCACAACGATTTTTTTCGTCACTCAAACTCAAGTATCATGATAACGCTCCGCAAAGGAAATCAAAACTATGGTCTTTTCCATGCACACGAGATAGGAACAGGTGAGGATTGGGGGAAAGTGGAAACTTTTGAGGGCCTTCATAGAAAGAAATGAAAATTTAACAGGTAATAGTTGAGACACGATGCATCACATTGAACCTGTTATAAACAAAACTACAAGTAAAATAATAACGCAACGAAATAGAAAAAATAAAACACAAAGATTTACGTGGTTCGGCTCAACAAACAAGTCTACATCAACGAACGAAACACAACGTCAAAATTTTACTATTGAAAGGTTGGAGATTACAACGTTTTCAGAACAAATCAAAGAGAAAACTAGATATATGCTCTATTCCAATAATAAAATATTTATTGGATTTAACAAAATAGAGTAATATCAATTTATCACACACAAAAAAAACTTTTATACCGTCGTCAATGGCCAACGATTAACTCACTGAAGAAGACGTCCTTTTTATCTAGCTTCTGGACTAAGGAATTTGATTCCTTCACAAAGTCTTTATGCTGAGGAGGTCTCACGTGTAGGACAAAAAACTAAAGACTCTTTGAAGGCTTTGAGTTTAAACAACAAAAGTCCATGTTGGACTAAACTCTACTAAAATAATAAAACCAAAATAATCTTAATAAAGGTCAAACTTGTCTATCAAGGACTCCAATGAAAACTCATGTCTTCAATTAGAGTCCATATAAAAAACAATTGACTTGAATACAAGTCATCACAACAAATCTCCACCTTAACTTGTATTACATCTATCCATCCAACCAATGTGAACTTGATCGCTGCTTTCGTCAAATACCCCGAAGGGTACACTCAAATAATGCAGACACCAATCAAGTCCAAGCAATGTTTGAACTTAAACACTAGTACCGGCTTAGTAAACATATCTGCTGGGTTCTCCGCTGTAGCAACCTTTTTAACTGTGACAATACCTTGAGCCATAACTTCATGAATGAAGTGATACCTAACATCAATGTGCTTGGTCTTTTCATGATACATCTGATTTTTGGTCAAATGTATTGCACTTTGACTATCATAAAACACAGTAGTTATCTCTTTTTCCAAGCCCAAATCACAGACCAAACCTCTTAACCAAATTGCTTCTTTAATTGCCTCTGATACTGCCATGTATTCTGCCTCTGTGGTAGACAAAGTAACTGTAGACTGTAGGATCGCCCTCCAACTTACAGTGCACCCAAATAAAGTAAAAATATAACCTGTCAGAGATCTCCTTTTATTTAGATCAACCGCATAATCTGAATCAACAAAACCAACAATTGTAGAATCGATGTCATCTCTTCTGCCAAATACTAAGCCAACATCTGTAGTGCTTCTCAAATAACGAAGTATTCATTTCACAGCCTGCCAATGAACCTTCCCAGGATTAGCCATGTAATGGCTAACCACACTAACTGCCTATAAAATATCTAGTCGAGTGCAAACCATAGCATACATGATGCTTCCAACTGTACTAGAATAAGGAACATGAGACATAAATTGCTCATCATTCTCACTCTGTGGTAATAAAGCTACTGAAAGCCTAAAGTGAGCGGCAAGTGGAGTACTCACGGGCTTCGAATTCTGCATCCCAAACCGCTCAATAACTTTCTCAATATATTTCTTTTGAGATGAATATAATATATCTGTTCTTCTATCCCTGTGAATCTCCATACCCAAATTTTTTTTTGCAGCACCCAAATCTTTCATCTCAAATTATGAACTCAACTGTTTCTTCAACCAATCAATCTGTAACATGCTCTTAGCAGCAATAAGCATGTTATCCACATAAAATAATAAATATATCAAAGAACCATCTGATAACTGTTTGTGATACAAACAATTATCATAATTACTTCTAGAGTAACCATGATCTACCATAAAGGTGTCAAAACGTTTGTACCACTGCCTTGTAGACTGTTTCAAACCATATAATGATTTATTTAACAAGCAAACATGATCTTTTTTACCTTGAACAATAAATCCCTCTAGTTAATGCATGTAGATAGTTTCTTCTAGCTCACCATGTAGAAAAATTGTCTTTACATCAAGTTGCTCAAGCTCAAGATTGAGTGAAGCAACCATAGCAAGCAATACATGAATAGAGCTATGTTTTACCACTGGAGATAAAACTTCATTGAAGTCCACACCCTCTCTTTGACTGTAGCCCTTTGCAACTAACCGTGCCTTTTACCTTACAGATTC